GTATACATTTTTAATTTAACTAATATACTAACGACTCGCCCTCGCTTTTCTCGGATTTGTTCCTAAGTGATTATTTAAATTGACATTACTTTTTTTTTATAAGTCAATTGCAATAAAACAAATACTAAATATTAAACGAAGCTTACCACAATACATTAGTGTAAATCGCACCTAAATTGGTTAAGCCATTTCTGAGATTAGCACGCACAAACGCACAGACAAAAATTCTAAAAATCATTATTTTGGGTTCTATTGCGTTAACAAAGACCCGTAATAATAGTATTTCTCAAATATCTTCGATGTAAAACTACTAATAGCGATCAGTTACACTTTTATTATATGTATAGATTTTTTCAAACCATATTTAGTACTAGCATTGCCCACGGCTCCGCCCGCGTTCAGATGACCAAAAACCAAATTCTTAGGTTTTTCATATTAGTATACTCTTACAGTACAGTTTTTGTTTTTTTCTCAGAAATGAGATATTAGCCCGCTGTACAAAGTATCTTTATATGTTGACTCGGATAACCAGCTATCATCATACCAAATTTCATCAAATCTGTCTAGTGGTTTTCTCGTGATGCGGTAACAGACAGACAAAAATTCTAAAAACTATAGATTCGGACTCTGTATCGATAATGTCTATTTCATTTAGATTTTCCAAAAAATATTTAATGTACAAATTCGACTTAGTTACAATTTTATATGTATAGATTATGTGAATAAAAAAATATATACTTTTACGTCTTTTATTACGTACAATGATGATGAGCAAACCCTTTACCTATCTTCTAGTTTACCTTAACCACCTAATTTATAAGTTTTGGGTCCAGTAGCTTTAAAACAATAGGCTGTAATAGACAAACATACGAGGTGTTCTGAATAGCTTTAGTTTTTTTCATAGGAACTAGCAAATTCGAAATACCGTCTTTTTATTTTCAAGAAATAAAATTAACATTTCTACTTACGTCTATATGACACATCAAGAAATTTGTAGATTTCCGTAAATGGTTCATTTTAGCAAACCGTTAGTACATTGTTAGACTAGGCTTAGACGGAGTAGTAAAATTGTACATAATAAAATAATATACATAATTAGAAATCATGAATAATAATATTTTCATTAAAAGTCATTAATAAATTAACAGGAAATATTTGACTACTTCAAATTAATATGGAATATCTATTGATTATACTTTTAAAGAAATATTTAAATTTAATAATTTAACAGTCAATATCTTAAAATTAAACATATTTTTCGAGTTACTAATTTTGTAATTATATGCTTATAAATAAATGCTTGAAAATAAATCAAATAGTAAGAAGTTCATAATTATATTATTACATTTAAAAATTCTGAAATACTATTGTTTAATTTAATAAAATTAAATTATAAATTATGGATACTTAACTGATTTTTAGGATGATTTTATAAAAATAATTAAAATTTCACTTCCGGCTGATTGATATAAAAAGCGTAAGGTAACCGTTGCAAGAGTTAGTTTTTGGACAGACGTGCATTACGCCAGAAAAGATAAGTAATCGTTGTTAAAATAATATTGAATTTATGCTGGTAAACTTATTGATCAAAATAGTGGTAAACTTATGTGTAAAAAGTAAAAAGATAAAGTTTTCCTGTGATTGGTTAAATAGTAGTGATATAAAGTGATCGTTAAAACTACATTTAATTGTGATCTTATATGGAAATACGAAAATTGAAGTGACATTGTAAAACTTATAAAGTAAAAAGTGATAATATAAAGCTTATTGCATTGGTTTACTGTGTTCTTATTTTCCTCGTCCTGAAATTATATGTTTATTTATACACTGTTTTATCAACATTGGACTACCTAGTCTGTCAAATACTTCATTTATATTTTAAATTCAGGTTTTGCGTTATTTATTAAATCTAGCGATTTTATTATTGTTAAGTGTCGATGACTAAAATATTTTTTTTTAGTGCCTCGGTGGTGTAGTGGCTAGCATGTACGTCTGCACACCCGGAGGTCCTGGGTTCGAGTCCCGGGTCGGGCCAAGTTTAGTTATTGAGTCTTTCTGCATAGTAAGTCTCAGTAACATCCCGGATTTGGGAAGTTGGCGGTGTTTCACCCCCATGCCTCGACGAGCACGTAAAGCCGTCGGTTCTGCGCCTTAACTCTCACTGGTCGTGTCGAGTGGTCGTTCCCAACAGAGTATGAGTGACAGGAATAGAGAGTGCACGTGTGTCTGCGCGTACACTTGTGCACTATAATATCTCCTGCGCAGTTGGCTAGTCTCAATGAGATTGGACGCCGTGGCCGGAATCGGTCAGGAGAACATCATCAAACTTTTTTATAGTTCTTGACACATAGACATTAAATGAGCTATTTCCTTGCAATTATTATATTCTTCTAAAAAATGTATCCATTTAAAAAAAAAACCGAAACAGGCCTCAATAAATAACACATATGATGTAAATACACAATTTTATTAGAAAAGAAAACAAAAATCCTTAAACTACCTAAATAAGGCACGACGTGTCCAAATAAATAGTATAGCGGTATGTCTCAAGCGATGCAACGGATGGAATAAAAGGCTAACACGGCGTGATACATCACATTTGCACTCTCTGAAGATTTATTAAGCCGAATTCACGTTACATTCATATTACATCAATTTAATTTAGTCTAAATAAATAAAACTATCTTTTCGGCTTTTTTCGGAGAAAGTTACATGTCCAGTGGCCATGATTGCCGTAAGGATTGACACGTCGGTAAGCAAAAAATCAAAATTTATCCTCTAGAAAATTCGAAGAGATAGTTTTATTTAAAATTGCTAATGTTCACATAAATTAAAAAGTAAACGTAGGCAAAACATTTTTTCTAATTATGTTGTAATTTGGAAAATTATTATTTTAATTCTCTTAAACTTAATTAATTTCAAAATGTACATTCGGCTTTAAATATATTCACACGTAAAGCTTTTTTAATACTAAACCGATCTTAAAAAGATATGACGCTCCAGGCGTTATTTAGTTGGGTTAAACATGGAATATTTTTTTAATAAAACTAATGACAAAAGGTTGCCAATATAAAAAAAATATGTTAAAACTGTTAAATTTAATATTTAATGTAATATTAATTAAAAATTTAGATGTAAAAAGTGTCTTTTACATACAAAATAGCTGAATTAAAAATTAATATTATAAAGTTTCCGAAAAAAGGAGACACGTTAAAAAAAATTAAAACGGTAATCTATATAAAATTCAGTCTAAAATTTAATTATTCAGCTATTTTAAAAAGTCTGCAAAGTGTGCAACGAGTGATCTGTGTGAGTACTGAGTTTAAACATTAAGTTGAATATATTTTTACCAGCATTAACTATTTATAGTATATAATATGCACTTGAGAAGCGTAGTTAGTGATAATTGATTTAAATCTGGCGATATGTGAGCAATACTTAGAAGATTAGATATAGCTACATAATATACAATAATAATTTATTTATTAATTATTAGTATACATAACTGATTTACATTTTGTTGTTATGTTTTAGTGTGTTACTTGTGCGTATAACAAATATAATACTCGTAAGTGAATAATTTACAGGTTATTTTGTAGAATACCATTATTTTACATCTAAAGCAACACATGTACATGTCCCTACACGATTACAATCTCTAAGGAAAATGCAAAATCGTCTTATCCTCAAATAAATAACTAATCAGAGTCGTTCGTAACTACATACTAAATTTGTAAATAACATAGAAATAATATCTTAATTTGTATGTCTTTGTACCAAATCTTGTTTAAGGAGATAATTTTGGAATTTTGAGCGAATCCGAATATTTATCTAAAAGAGAGCTATACAGTATACTAGCGAGAGGTTGAAATGTGAGACTTTTCTTCTATGGAAAAGTGAATTTCGTTCCTCTATAAAGGACATTGCAAAATTTTTCACGAAAAAAAAATTTTGTATGTCAAACAAATACAGCACACGTTTTACAATATTCCGCTCTGAAGTTCGCTGCAAATGGCTACGCAATAACAATATATTGGTAATATAATAGCAGTTTGATCTTCAGAGCAGAAAATATAAAACGAGTTCCATTCACAAATAAATGTAAAATTTTTATTCTGTCAAAATGAATGTCATGTATATAGGCGAGTTCTGAAGAAGAGAGATTGATTACATAATTCAATTCTCTTTCTCCATTTTTTCTCTAATGTGTACTCTTTCTTCAGAACGTACCAATTTATTATTTATATATACATAGAGTAAACAATATAACAAAATGCTTTGAAGAAAATAGTTATTTTCCATCTCATTCTTATATTGTTATTAACTGTATTGTCTACTCCATGAACATTAAAAATATCAATTGTGTAATTTTTCGTATTATTAAATATTTATAGCTTTAAGGAACTTACTTTTTATTGCCAATTTATCAAATTACAAATGGATATTGTCTCTTAAGTTAAACATCAATTAAATAGTTCACAGGAAGCATATTTATAAAGGTTACAGGTATACATTGAAAACGACTACTAGAAAATTCGGCAAATTAATTTATAGATTATCCTAGAAAAATTATGGACAATATAAAACGTTAATAACCAATATAACAAAATATTAACAAATGTTACAGATAACTGGCAATTTTGTGTAAATCTCACATGGTATCTGGCAACATTGCCCTATTCTGTATATTATAAAAGTGCATGACAGATAGAATAAAAAAAATGAAAAAAAAAATGAATAGTTACATACATTACACAGTAATGTTTATAAATTCACAATAAAAAATTAGAAAGAGATAGAAAGAAACACACAACATTGGATCACTTTTATTCTTGACAACATTATCTTCCGACTTTAAAGTACATAAAAAAATTAAATACTCATATACTGAAAACTGTTTAATAGTATTAAAAGTCAGTAATATTAGTTTAGTTCAGTCGTTAATTAATTATTAGTTAGTTGAATATGCCTAGAATATTGGCACAACAGGCGTTATGTCAGTATTGCTCCATATCTGTCGGCGCCACAGAGTACACTGAGGGCGGTCTGAAAAATTTAATAATATTAATATTGTTATAAAATATTAATTAATAAAAAAATTTATCAAAATGAGAATAAAATTATAAATTAATTTTGCGTCTTATAATCTATTTCCCACTTACGTTCAAATACAAATAAAAGAAGTTTTTTTAGATCAAAAATTAAAAACTATTATCTTAATTGTGTTATACTGTAAATTTAAATGTTTAAAATTCCAATAATTACTTATAATTATTTCCAATATTACACGACTAACGAAATTCTCACTGTAGCTTAATAACAATGACTGCTTCATTTAAGCGGCATCAAAATATAATAAAAAACACATAATATCTATTATTATAATTATATATTTAAGCCTATAAAGAATAAATCTTTTAGCCTGTTAAGGATATTATAATAACTAACAAGTTTTATCATTATTTTTGGATTACTAAGCCTACTTTTATATATGTTATTTCAGCTCTTAGTCTATCTGTGTACAAATGATAATCCAAAGTCACACACACACACACACACACACGCACGCACGCACGCACGCACGCACGCACACACACACACACACACACACACACACACACACACACACACACACACACACACACAAAATAAAACTATCGGCTCAACCTCGCTTTGCTCAGGTTCGCCTCTAGAAAAACAAATCTATCCCACGAGAACCGTACATTTCCCGGGATAAAAGTAGTCTATGCGTTATTCTGATGTATGAGGTATATTATAGTAAAGTTTCATCAAAATCCATTCAGTAGTTTTTACGTGAAAGAGTAACAAACAAACAAACATACATACATACATTCTTACAAACTGTCGCGTTTATAATATTATAGTATCATAGTATTTCTAAGTTATATAAACATAAATCAATATAAGTACATGTACCGTAGCGCGCGGCGCGGCGCGGGCAGGCGCGAGGGCCGCGGCAGCGCCGACGCGCGCGCCTCGCCCGGCGCCGGCCGCGGCTGCTCCACGTGCGGCGGCGGAACTGTTCGTACGAAATAAATATTATTTTGTAACTACGAGTATATACGTGTCTTTTCATCATATAAAAAATAAAATATTTTAATCTTTCCCGAAAACGATAAGCGATGCTCGGTCGCCCAGGTACTTAAGTTCTATACCTTGTGCGGGTCTCTGTAGGGGCACGGAGGTCGGCCGCGAGATGCGAAGAGTTGACGATCCCGCTATCGAGTATGGTCTAGTTGTTGGTGGCTATAACATTAAAATATATTAAAAGTTAATGTATAAGTATATGCGATAGATTTATCCTTAGTTTTTTTTTTAAGTATTTAGACAAGATGACACTATACAATTGATATATTTAATATTTAAAAATTTAAAATAGACCAAAATAGATACATATTTCTAAGAGATTATGTCATAAGGACTCTCTCACTATGTTTTTACCCGTTTTACTGAGCCCATACTGAACGTATTGTTAAAAAGTCCGAATTATTACTAATATCATAAATATATTTAGTTTTCTATTAGCGATGCAGAGTGTAGAGAGTCAACTCATCTAAGGATATAATAGATAATTAAACAAAACGTCCAGATATATGTAGATAATGAAACAATTATATACTATGAAAATGTGGTATTAGCACTTGCAAATTTAGCACACGAGCATGCAATGTTACAAAAGCTCACAAATTTTATTTACATTTTTGTATATTTTTAATCGAATTCCAAAAAGCAGGAGGTCCTTTGTTATACTAAATGATTCGGGTGTTTATTGAATATGCAATCACACGATGAGAATATAAAACGTAGATTACTTTGGAATAATCAATACTAATATTATAAAGAGGCAGAGTTTGTTTGTTTATTTGTTTGTTTGTTTGAATGCGCTAATCTCAGGAACTACTAATCATGCTACCATCCAAGGGAGCGGAGCTGTAATCATAAATGTCAACAAATCGGGTAGACTTCCATACATTATTAAAGGGAAGGGGAAGTAAATTTTAAAATAAAACCATATTGATTTTCCCTAGATAAGAATGAACTTATCATTTTGTTTGTAATAATAACTATTATTTTTATGTGATAGTACTAGATACTCGTAAATATACAAAAATGTAAATATATATATGAGACGGAATGTATGCATATAGAATTTCAAAATGTTTTCTTTATTGTATAGAACATATGATTTCAATTAAGAAAATTTAAATGTACATAGTTTAAATGTTTAATGAATATTATCTCGGGAACTATTTAACGTGGCAGCATACTGATTCAATTAAAAAAAATAAGCCTTTTTCTTTGTTACATTTAAAAAAAACAAAGATATTTAAATGTAAAAAAACAACAACAATTATTTAGATATCATAAATGTGTAAATTTGTATATATTTCCTTCGCACATTATCGATGTTATTTTTCCACATTTAAAGAAAGAAAAAAATATTACACGCGGGCAAAACCAAGTACATAAACTAGTATATAAATACCCTATATGTATACATTCCACATATAACATATAAAGGGTTTACAACACAGACTCACGGGCGCGTAATGGTTGCGCGACACGACGGGCACGCCGCTCGGAGCCACGCTCAGTCGGAGCTAAACCGTCACAATACAAATACATACTATATATCCGACATTTGTATTAGAAATTACATTAAATAATCATATTTATAATAATTTATATGTAAACTAATATTATAAACAGGTAAAGTTTGTGAGTTTATGACGGTAATCGCTGGATCTACTAAACCGATTTAGATGAAATTTGGTAAGATAGTTTGAGACCCTGGGAAGGACATAGGATTTAGATTTTTTGTCCCAGAAATCACCCATTAAAGTTTGTATTGGGAAACAAGCTAGGGACGCACCAGAGCAAAGCGAAAGTGAATCGCTAGTTTTTTTAATAAGTGTAAAGAAGTTTCTTGTGATAGGAATAATGATTGCAACTCGAAATGAATGTACTACGAGTAAGTAGTGATTAGGTTGTATAGTATTATGTTCTATATACTTTTAAAAATAAGAATATTTTTTAAATATTCGAGCAAGGTAATTAAACTCGACTATTTATTCCCATATTTTATTTAATGAATATGATTTTAATCGCTAATTTTTTCTTCAGAATAAAAGTACCAAAAAATGTCGGATATATAGTACCTATAATAATATGAAAAACAAACAGTATTAACACAAAAACACAATGATTATGACATGAAATTAGTCACAAAACAAAAACACACATTAGTTCACCATCACCACATTTAACATTAATATTAACTTTCATTATTTTCCTAAATAATAAGAATATGATAACTTTTAAGCAAAAACTATTTAAAAATGCAATAAAAGATCGTGGGCACGAATGTCGAATGTGTATGAAAATTTAAAAATGTGCTATTTAAAAAAAACGTACATGTAGATAATTATTTTCGTTTTTAAGATTTATATAGTCACCATCATATAAAAGCGTGCATTGGCATGAACAACGATATGTCCTTATTTTTATGTTTAATCAACATAAATCATCTATTTTTAAAAAAGCTTTTCGAAAGCCTCACATAGCTTGTAAACGATAGTAAATTATATTGATTGAATTAGTATACTGTGACTTTATCCCCTGTGGATTCCCCACTACTTCCCTCTTCCCCATATGAATGGACGGTAATTTCATATATTGATAAGTAAAATATGACTTTATATCCCGTTCATTCCTCCTCAACTCCTTCCCTATCCGATATCCATAGATGGTAAATGTATGAATTAGTACTGTGACTTTATAGTTATACCCAGTCGACTGCCACTCCCTCCCTAATGCCCCCCTCTCATGCAATGCCCCCTTTTCCCCTCTCTCTCCAAATACCCCCCCCCCCCCTATACTCACGTCTCTCGGGGCAACAAGCTGGCTTTGAGGTCTCTCGCGTCGTAACGTCTCCGTGCCTTGACGCACGAGCGCCGGCGGGTTGGTGAGGGTCGGTCGCTCCTGTTTGTCTGTTTCTTCTTGATTCTGGAATGTTCCATTTTAATTGTAAACTGGCAATAACTTGTAGGTTATATATTACTGGTGCTAGTAAAGAATGGGATTGAAAATGGCTGCTTATTGAGTTTTGACTGTCCTGACTGATTCGATTAGGTGTTGACGTTATAAAAAATTATTAAGTAGATTTTAATGTACCATTAATGTGAAACGAGTAATTATGCTAATTTTAAATGTTACTTAGATGTAATTTTAGACATTTTAAAATTAAATATTAAGTATTGTAAGATGTTATAATAATTTTTACTCAACTTGATGTTGAGTTGTTAATTGAGCAAATAATTCAATGTAGAATATTACAATAATTAAACTTTAGCTTTTATATTAAAAGGTTTTAATTTGCCATTCTAAATGTATATTAAAAAAACCTTAAAAACCAAACATAACGTCATCACTCACCCTATAAACCGGCAAAGCACACGACTCTCTGCGCTGATGTATCTGGGGGTGTTGGAGGTGTGGGGGGTGCTGGGGGTGTTGGGGGTATTGTGGGGGAGAGGGTGCGGTGGGGCTTAGCGCGGGGTTGGAGGCGTAGACCCCACGTCGCACCATCGTGCGTCCTGCCAGTATGCGTGACGCGGTTGGTGGGGGGTTACCTGTGGGGGTAATTTATTACATGTTATTAAATTGTAACTATATAGAGCTATAATACACGGGATGTTTTTTTTAAATAAATAAATATGTTGAAACATTAACACACAACTCCATGTAGTTCCATGGTATGCTACGAGGCTTATGTTATGGATACCAGACAGTTGATACACTGCGCATATATAACTTTAAATACATACATACTATAATTATTATAAGCAGCCATAACTGGAATACAAACATTCGTGCTTATCACACAAATAAATGCCCCCAGCGGGATTCGAACCCGCGACCACGTGCACACCACGTAGGGTCCCTACAAACTGAGCCAAAAAAAACCTTATTTTTTGGTTCTTATTAAAAACCGGTTTTATGACACTATTTAGCATATTTCATTATTCTCTGAAACTCCTTTTATTAGATCCTAGGTTTTGACTAAGTTTTGTGTTTATAGGACTTTAAAGGTCCTAGAAAAAAGTCCGAAAAAGTATATGTATATATCCTAGTGCACACGCAATAACTAGGTATTTTATCTATTTAAAACGTACCTAGGAACGCACCTTAGTGAAGCAAGTCGCTATAAGTGATGCTTACAATTACCAAATCACTATAATCTTTACTTACCAGGTATCCTATTTAATTCTTTATGTGAACTGTATTGTCTTAGTTTAGACGTGGGCAAGCTTGTTTTCCTCGGAACGGCCGTCGGCGGTGCCATTGCACTGTATGGTCCTGAAATAACAGTTATTTTGTAGAAAATATTATTTTAATATTTATTACAAAAATATTTGTGTTGAAGAATTCGAAAAAATACATATAAATTAGCATATGTAATTGACCGACTTCAAAAATAAGAGAAATCTCTACTTCGAGGGTAGTTACACATAAATTAGTGTGGTAGCTTGTGAGTTACAAAAAATGTAGCAAAAACAGGTTTCCTACTTTTTTAGTGACTCTTTAACGGATTTAAGTGAAATTGGGAATGAAAATAGCTCATACCCAAGCACCAAGATTAAGATTATGATAGGCATTATACTGACATATTAACAATAAATAATAATATGTATATGTTTTAAATTTCATTCAAATTCGTCCAGCTGTTAAAAAAAAAGCAAAACACATACAAAACACAAATAAAAAATTTCGTATTTATACTTGTCGCATTTATGTTGTAGTAAGTACCTGTCTCAGAGGGTGAAGTTCGAGTAAAAGTCTTCTGTATTTGAACGGGGGAGGATAACTTTTTTTCTGGACTATTTCTAGCCAATATATCTCTTTTTGCAGACGTTTTCTTCACCATCGTAGCACTATTTATTACTGTTGCATTCATATTGTAAGTCCTTTCCATGTCTGATGGCATTGCTTTATTTACAGTGTACGATTTGTCTTCGACCATGTCGTAGATTGGAGATATCGTGTTGTGTAAGTGTAGGAGTTCGTTTTTTGAGCCCTTTTTTAATGACATTAAAGGCGTAGATGCTACTTGATTACCTGAGAATGTAATAAAATATTATTTATACTATACAATAGTTTAAGAGCTTAAGAGAGATTAGTAGACTAAAGTTTACATCTTATATTTTTTGGATGAAATAAAATTATTATGTATATTTATAATTAGTTAATATATTATGTAATATGTATATAATATTAACTAATAAAAACACACTGTTTCTATACAATCTTTTTAGTTAGAAACTATAACTTGACCAACTTACGAGGATCAACTGAGCTCTCAGGTACACTCTCAGGCGGACTGCTTGAACTGAATGTCCCTGTGTCTGTACTTTCACTTGAACCAACCATTGCACGCTCTTGGAGACCCCATTCCTATAAACACAATGTTTTTTTATGAGTTAAATACAATTCGGTTTTTTTTTGTTTTTTTAATGTATACCCTTTTTTTCAATATCACTGTTTTATTCAATATCATTGGTTAGTTGATACGTAATTAAAGACACTGCCAACTATTCTCAAACTTATAACAACATTGTTTTTAAATGATTACAAATGATACGTTAGTTATGAAGATTTTAATTAAAAGTTAATAGCCGTTACTAAAAAGGTACAGCGTTTTCAAAATCAGTTTAAAATATTTAGTTTTTTCCTCTATTAGAATATAATGGTTTTCTTGTACAACATAAACTTTAAAAAAAGAATTTAGAAAATCTAATAACTAATCGAATTAGAATTTGGCCGAAGATATCGCGTATCATACACAAACAAATATACATACATTCAAACCATGTACTTCAAATTTTAAAGTCTGCTAACAAACAAACAACGATAAATAACATAAGCACATTAATATACACTATCAAATAAAAAACTGACCTCTTGCTGCAAAGTCCTTTCACCAGAGTCGATTAAATTCAACGTTGCCGAATTAATATCGATTATATTATCGTCATTTTTCACGTACACCACTGTTGCGTCCATCGCACTACTTTTCGGTGAAACCTTTTTGAATGTGGCACTTCGTTTTGGCGTTTCTCTCGTCTCTTCTTTTTCATGACTATTCAACGCTTTTCTTCTAGATAGCAATTCGGAAGCATTTTCCATACTTTGCCGAGGCACTGTTATTGTTTGGTTCGGAAGCTGTATTGTTTTGATGGGAGATAAATCTTGTGGTTGCTTCTCGTTTTCACTTGGCAGGGCTTTCCTTGCTAGGGATAGCTTTTGACGCGCTTGTATTATTTCGTTTAGTTCTTGTTTATCTAATGTGACACTTAGGCTATTTTTCGCTGGATCAGCCTTCTGCATACCCATTTCTTTGTAGAAGGTGTTGTCACATTCGAATGTCGCGTTTAAATTCTCTTTCTCAGCATCATTGTCGCGTTTGAACTTATTATTTGCGTAATGAAGTGTTATCGTCTCGCTCATTTCATCATTTGGTTTGGACTTAGGTGCAGTTTTAACTGTTTGTGGATTATTTAATGTGTTATCACAATTTTCATTTAGTACTTTAACTGTATCTATTTGGCAGGCCTCTTCGCGAGATTTCGTGTAGCTTTCTGTGTTTTTGATCGAATCGCGTTTAGTGAAGCTATTGAATAATGCACATCTTGGTCTGGCTGAGAGGAGTTTCTCCGAATGCTCTAGGTGGGTGAATGTTGCCGAACTGAATATATTTGTATCTGTGTTTTCTGTTCTTGGTTTGGAAGTGTTCGAAACAACGTAGGAAGAGTTAACTGAGCTGACTAGGGACGGCGGTAGAGAGTCCATTAAGCTGTCATTGTCAGGATATGTCGTCTGTGAAAGGAAACTTGTGCTCATATCCTTTTCATCTAAAATACTGAGTGTCATGCTGGTCATCATTGGATCTATACTTTCTCGCCCTGATGTTGGTAGACCTGAAAATATTTTTAAGCTATACCACATTCCTAATGTATGAAATATGTAAGACACATAAAGAATAATATAATCATATTACCTGAATCCTTCTGCGAGATAGATTTCCTGCTATCAAAGGATTCGGGGTTAAAGTTTCCAGAATTTTCCATAACAAGAGACGACACGAGACTAGGCGGTGACATTCGCATTAGTGATTCTCCACTCTGGTACATATTTAGACTTCCACTTTCATGTAATATGTTCATCATTCCCCTGAAAAATGTATGTACTTTATACCTCTTCCACGTCTAAATTAACGTCTTTAAATAGTAAAACACGACAAAAGAATAAAAATATACTTAAAAACTATCATGTAACCTATTAAATTGATTAGGTATAAAGCATCAGTTAATTTTCATATAACAACAGTGAAATAAAAAAATATTTTAATTATTACAGTCAGTACCTATTGCATAACAGTATTAGATCCGTTCACGAAATAACAATTCATCCACATTTGTAGATGAAAGTTAAAGTTTTACAACTTCCATTATTATTAATCAGTGTCCATTGACAAGATAATAAAGCTGACTATCCACTAAAATATAGTGCTATAATGCTATACATAGCAATTTTTTTCATGATCTATCATACGTAGAAATATGCATAATATTTAATATTTAATGTATAATATATATTTGTAAAAGGTTCAAATTAGTACATAATAGTAATAAAAAACCCTATTGTATCATATCCAATGACAATTCTACATATCAAGAAAACTTCGATAGCTACGAATTAGGCAAGTGAGACACTAACTTACTTTAATAAAAACTGTATTTAAAAATAGTAGGTACATTGACTAACGTAAGCGATATAGCATAATAGGATACTGGAATCCTAGCTTTATTTTCTCCGTAGCAAATAGCTTTCACGGGCTTTTTGTCAGACCGTTGCTAAGTCATTTTGAATAATTGACTGAAAGTCTAAGTGTATTGTTTTCTTTTTATTTGTTAACAATTAATAATATAAGTAATTTGAACGAAGTGTTATTTTTGTGATAAAATGAAAGTGATTCTTAATAGAAGTACATAAAATATTATATATGTAGTACTAGCAGAACGTGCGGCTTTGTGTTTATTTAATTATATCGGAGAGCATTAATACTAAGTTTGAAGTAAATCTGATCATAAATATTGTTTTGGATTATATTATAATTTATAACGTGTTTTTCCGTGGGAATGAGATATTCTCCCGCGGTAAAAAGTAGCTTATGTCACTCTCCAGCCCTCCAACTATCTCCATACAAAAAAATCACGCCAATCCGTCACTTCGTTTCGACGTGAAAGAAGGACAAACAAACACACTTTCACATTTATAATATTAAGTATGAATTTGTGTGAGGAATTAGGAAATATTTCACAGTAAGAACTGGTTTTGATACCAGTTGATACCTAACACGGTATGTTAAGCAATAGGATACATTTCAAAGTACATGTTTGCCCTCACACATAGGAAACATATCTGTCCCATTTCATTTTATTAGAAGAAAAAAAAACGACATAGATACATACTTACTTGTTATCTCTAAAAGTACAAAAAATGTTAATCTACACTAATATTATAAGAGGTAAAGTTTGAGAGTTTGTAACGTTGTAGGGGGTAATCTCTGGATCTACTAAACCGATTTAGATGAAATTTGGTAAAAAGATAGTTTGAGACCCTGTGAAGGACATAGGATACTTAATTTTTATCCCGGAAATCATCCCTTAAGGGGGTGAAAATGGGGATTAAAGTTTGTATTGGGAATCAAGCTAGGGACGAACTCGAGAGAAGCGAGGGTGAGTCGCTAGTTATCTATAACCTGGCAGTGTGTGCTTCAGGGGCTAAATCTCAGTGGCATAATCTAGCTTTAACTATATACAAAGATATAGATAACTTTTAAGTACGAAACAGCCTTGATTATTATATCTTAAAACTCTAAAATAACTTCAAGTTGAACTAATTCAGTTAAAATAGCTCATAAGAACTAAGTTAATGCACACAACTTGTGTTTATTGCACTTACTTGTTGAACGTGTTGTGTATGTTGTGGGCCGGCTGCGAGAGATCAATGTTGATGGCCTTGAACGGCACGTGCTCAGTTATACGTTCGGATACGTCTGACGCTAGCGTCACATCCAGATCTTCTAGCTGGAAATTTAATGTGGGGGTGAAAATATAATTAAAATTAAATTGCTTTTAGTGTTTGTATAAAACTTACAAAATAGTTACTGTGATTTGTCTGTTTGTTTGTGCTCGCTAAACACACACTTGAAAAGGTCGCAAAATAGAAAGTAGCAGTATTATAACTTTTTAGACATATTAAGGGTAGAAGCGAAGTTATGTAAGGTCGCTAGTTTACTAATTATTAAGTACATATTATAATGTTATCGTTTTTACACCTTTAATTAAAAATTGTTTAACTTTGATGTGGGTTTCTGGTGATATGATCTGGAATAGTGTCATAGATATTCACTGACCTAGACGTAACTAGAATAAAAACTAGATCTAAAATTAGTCGCAGTTTTAAGTTACTTATGTCTTATTAATTATGGCTAGTCCAAATTAGATAAATCATAAAACTGAAGCTAAGATTGTAAAAGCAAAATAAAATTAATAATGATAATAGATAAAAAGCAAATTAATAAATCACGGTATGAAATTGAAGAACAAAATTACAATTACATTGAAATAATTTAAAATATTATACTTAATAAAAAACATTACATAAACAAAATGAAACTCATATGCAATGAAATTGAAAGTGATTTGTAGTCACGGCATATAACCCATGGTAACTAGTTCCTGCCTGTGTCTGCTCTGTTATTTAAGTTACAAAACGAACCAATTCTTGATTTGTAACCCCCGACGCAAAAACGACGGGGTGTTATAAGTTTGACTTGTCTGCGTGTGTGGCTGTGTGTAGCATCGTAGCCCCCGAACGGATGAACCGATTTTGATTTAGTTTGAAAGGTGAATTAGTCGGGAGTGTTCTTAGCTAAGTTTGATGAAAATCGGCCCAAGATGGCCAGTTCTTTTTTAATTTTTAATTTATCATATTTTATTACATAAGCTTTTAAGCTCAAGCTATACGCAAGAATGGTTGTCAATAATGTCTTTTTGAACGCGTATCTTACCAGCACGCATCATATAAATCGATACTTCTATAGTAAAGGTGATAGATAGAATTTATTAAGAACAGCTAAGTCTTATTTTTATTACTCAAATAGTTCCGAAGATACCGTAGATATAAAATACTCGTACTATATTTAGTGGCTGTAATTTGTAAACTAAACAAAATTTCAAACTCGTGTAATTCTATATAATATAAAATCATAAACGTGAATTACTATGAAGACACGGTAGTTGTCATTGTATTATGTTTCAAGTATTTTCCGCATCTTACGCCTCCCTTGTATTACGTATTTGTGGTCTTAGAGACGTATCGTTTACACAAGTTACATATTTGTTCCGGTGTTTGTTTCCTATATGGAGAACATCCTATATTTTAAATCCTTCTATGATTATATATAAAAAACTGATATAGCGGATTCGATGTCCGGACAAGGCTACATTTATATTCAATTTCTCGATTTTCCACATTGAACTGTGTGTGTGATCGACATTATTGTTCATACATACAACATGTATTCGATATCTTGTTAGTAGGAAAATGATTTCTGCTACTTTTTATCACTTTATGTCAAGAACGTCCCGTGGGAAATTATTCTGTTGCGCAAAGTTTCTTAGGAACAAATACAATATATCAGCTTAGTAAGTAAAGTGCTTTGTGGGACCACACTGCATTGTTCTAAATACTATAAACTTTAAAATTGATAAGCTTCGATCAATGAAGTATAATTGTTGATCGAAGTTTATAAAACATAAATTTAATTTTCAATTTAATTGGTAAATATACACATTACTAATAGAGTTAACAACAAGGAAATATCAGTTATACGTGTCAGTTTACACATAACAGCTAATAAGTAATAACAAAAAATAGTTATTAAAAGAAAATTAACGTCCATAAAACAAAATTATCGTTACGTAATATGAAACAATAAATGCTATTAACAAAAACTTCTAAATTACAAGAACGACGACAGCAAAACGAATAGCTCTTATTTACACTTGTAAAAACTGTAACACGCTATTTTAAGCGAATAGGAAGGTAGATGACGGTGTGCATTTTTAGAAAATCAAATGAGAACATGGCGTTATAAATAGCTGCCTTTTTATTGTTCTCAACCGATGCATTTCGCTGCAAGGGATAGAAAAAGAAGTTTTCTAGAATAGAATATCTATAGAAATTCCTTACAACTAGGTTAAAAGGTCACAAGTCTACACTGCGTCTATGTGTTATCATAAAATCATAATATCTTCTTAGCAAGCAAATTACGTAGTCAGTATAAACATTTACTTGGCACCGTATTGAATAATATCACAGAGATCTGCTTGCAACATGACGTAAAATACGTCAGACAGCAATAAAATATAAATTTACTAAGAAAAAGCGTAGTAGCGGATAATTCTTTTTGAACGTGACCACCCAATAACGGAAACCATGATTTCTTTTAAGAAATCATTTCGAAAGTCACCAGCGAATTGCTTATTTATATCAAGTAGGTACGTTTAAATTCTTATAATATATGATACACTGGGTTCTACCCGCGGCTTTGCACGCATCATAGGACGATAAAAATAGCTAAATACCCTGCGTTAAATAGTTATTAGGTACTACTTCATCATATTAGAAAAATGATTTTTAATTACAAAAATTACGTATATACACCTTATTTATCTTGAAAATAAAGAAAAACGTATCTAGTGTTAGAGATAGAATTTTTGTTTTAAAATTTATATATTTAAGTACAGTTTTAGTTTTTAGTTATAGTTCACAAATAAGTGCACCAAAATTCTTTTCAATGAAATGCACAATGCACATCCTTTAACATCTAAAGAATACACCAATTTTAGCACCAAGTTACTGTCACTCTCAGATAAAGTCGTAAAATATTTACAACAACAACTTAATAGAAGAATAACAACAAATTATTTACATAAATAGCTAACAAAGTTGCACCAAAACCTGCTTGGACTCGTGACATCATCTCCAGTACATTTGGATTTCTTTATTTGCTTTGTCAACTCAAATACGACTAAACAGCCAATAATATAAAAAAAAAACAAGTACATTTACAATTTTGATAATTAACTTATTAAAAACAACTAAAAAAACTAAAAAAATAGATAAATATAGGCAGTGGTAGCCCAGTGGTAACTCGCTCGTTTAGGAAATCGAGTGAAGCGAGTTCTAATCCCGGGTCTCGCACCTCTGATATTTTCATGTGCTAATCATTTCTTAACTATGGCTGTCTTAACGGTGAAGGAAAACATTGTAAGGAAACCTGCATGTCTGAGAGAATCTAGCAAGTTTTCCTTTTGAAAACATGTGAAGTCGGCCAACCCGCACTTGCCCAGCGTGGTGGACTATGGCCTGAATCCCCTCGTACTGAAGGGAGGCCCGTGCCCAGCAGTGGGACGTCAAAGAACAGCTGAATACAATACTTATTAAAAATAATTGTTAACACATATATTGTAATAGAAGAAATTTTATCTGTATATCTGTGTGCATTTACATCATATATCTTTTAAAGGAATTAGTTTTATGAAAACCTTTAAGTAGGTAAGATACCTAAGTATCTGTTAATTACTAAGAAGAAAGAAAACGTCTAGTTAGATCATTCTCAGTTTGTAATTAAATTAAAAAATATATATTCATTATTTAGTAGTATTAGAATATATTGGTGTCGTTGTTTTTAGTGAAAGTAATATAAAAAGCTATTACAAATGATTCATTTGCCAATGAACATTTTTGGCAGACATTTCGTTTTATTCGTGCTGCGATGGCTTCCGTTATTCATACTTCCTGTATTTTAAGAGGTATTACGACAAGCTTGTGGGTGGATTTACTGAATGATATAGTCATGTTAGTAGACTTAATTGAATTCTCACGTCGCTTCAAGGTAATTTTCCAACCCAAATCGAAAACTATAACAAATTAAGGGATTCATTTCCAAAACAAACACTAACAAAATGTTTATATAAAAGATGTCGTATGGGTCAAAGCGGCTGAAACTAGTAAAATCTAAGGACATGGATACACCCAGACTTTGAGAAATACTAATGAGACCAGTACAATCTTTTTCCTTAGTGATAATTAATCAAACTGGCGACATTATAAATCTATAGCCGTACATACCAAAAAATGAAATAACCCTTAAATAAGCTAAAACACTTGTTGCATTAACCCAATTCAAACAACATACTACGGATATTTAACATATTTTACGCTTGTTAAAATAATCTTTAGGCACTGTAAGCACCTTATAGCTTATCATACTTCATTATTCATACAAATAAATCAAATGTACGCAAGTATCGGTTTACGCAACGCTATACCCAGAATAATATTTCACGTAGGAATTAATATAGCTCCCTTTGCGGTGAGCTGTTACTCGTGTTACGTCGACTATCTGAGGGAATAAATCTGGTTATGAGATTTACTTTTAACTTTGAATGAATAAATGAATAAAACCTATACATATAAATAAAATTGTAGTTTTTCTGATTTTTCATTTAACAATTGCCTTAGCAATAGGTCGATTGTAAACCGATTTAAATGAAATTGGTAAATTTTTAAATTGTTAGTTGAAAAGGCCATAAAAGTGGCCTCATATGTGATTTTTCAATCAGTGTATTAGTTTCCACAAAGAACGAATGTAATTAAGATTCTTATATGCATATATTATTCGTAAAGTATCAAAGACAAAATCCTAAAAAAAAAATGGTTTGGGTTTTGTCTGTCTGTCTGTCTGTCTGTCTGTTTGTATCCACTTGTCTGCAGTATCGCCAAATCTCAGGATACATAAATATACATATTTATTTAAAAATGACTTTCACTGGCGGGTAGAGTTTGAGAGAGATTAATATACTTAGGCTATTTTTTATGGTCACGTTTCTGCGGAGGTGCGGGAGGACGCAATAAATATTTAATACATGTACGAGTATGTACATTGTACATATATATCATAAAAGATGAATTTTTAAAAGGGTAAAGTCTAGAGGTAGTAAATTTTATTTGTTGCTTGTCAAGGACAAATGTTACATCATAACACATATATTTAGTAGTGCATAATGCTACGTCAGTCAGCGATTTTATTCTTAGTATGCGTTTCATTTTCTCGATATCAGAGTGTCGAAGTATCTATACGCTTTTCGTCTATAATTTATATAAAATTAAATTATAGATTATAAGATTGAATTCTTTAAACAAAAAATATTTTACTTTGATGAGACGTCCAAAATAGTTTTCAGGAGTTAAAAAAAATACTTCGCTCTTTAAAAACGCCCCTAGGTCTAGGCGACAATTAAAACTGCGCTAAATACGCCAAGTAAAGTTCCAGTTCATAAAAATACTGAACTAAAGCAAATAGAGCTCTAATATTGGTATAACAGAAGAAATGAAAACTCATTTGGATTTGACGATAAAAACAAACATTAAAAAAAATAGTTTGTTTTACTAATGAAATTCCTAGAATTAAATATCCCACATATAATCATTTTCCAAAGGATTGATCTAAAATTAGACTGGAAATGAATAGCAAACGTAATGTGACCAATTAATATAGGAAAATCTCTAAGTCGGATTAAACTTTGCCCTTTCAGGCTTTCAAACCTCTCCCTCCCCTTTCAATGACATCACATTGCGAAGTTATATTTATCATTTGGTGACGTCATTGTTGTCCTCTACACAGCCGAGGACAAATATGACGTCACAAAAGGAAGATATGTGTCCCGTGACAAGAACTAATGAAATACCTATTCAAAGAAAATATAAATATACGACTCTTTCATCCTATAGGTATCTTTCATAATAAAACGATTCATATTCGGCAAAAAGGGAGATGTGATTTTTTTATTATTAGGGTTCCGTACCCCAAAGGTCGAGAGTCCAGAAGCTCTATTGCAAAGCTTGATCTTTTTACTCATCCGTATGTTACATAGAAAGACAAAAATAAAATATGATAATAAGGGATTTCCTTATAAAAGAAATGTATTTTAATCGACTTCAGAAAAGTTTTGAGTGTGTTTATTTTGTATTTTTTGTTTTTACATCACATTCTTCGCCTATTGTAAACCGATTTAAATGAAATTGGTAAATTTTTAAATTGTTCCTTGAAAAGGCCATAAGAGTGGCCTCATATGTGATTTTTCAATCGGTGTATTATTTTCCACATAGAACGAATGTAATTAAGATTCTTTAAACAAATATATATTGTGTACAGAGTGTTGTAGATTTTTATTACCGTAACACTCGCGACTTGTCCATGCTTACCTCTTGTGCGTCTCTGCTCCCTAAAGTGCCTTACAATAGCCTATCTGTTACTCCAGGTCACAGTCTATCTGAGTACTAAATTTTATCAAAATCCGTTTAGGAATTTCAGCTCGAAACAGTAACAAACATACAAACACACTAATTTTCGCCTTCATGATAGTATAGTGTGATTAAAACTAATAAGTACGTAACACAAATCTCTCGCAAATAAATAAGCTACTAGTTAAATTTACGATCTATAAAAAGACTGGCGTTACCATATCGTCTGTAACTGTATCAATGGGGGCATAAATTACGCGCGACGCTGGTTCAAGTTCCTTCCAATTATATTGAGATTAACAAAATGAGCATCAATAATGTCTTTGACCGCGTGAGTGGCAGACAGATTTTACGTCATTGTTAAACTCCGTTTTATTTAAATTGGGAAATATCATATATCTTAGTAATTATTATATGAATTATAAAAATATCTTAGTTAACTAGTGACTCACCCTCGCACTTGGATGTGTTTTAACGGTTGGTATAGATTTCTCAGAGATGAGATGTTAATATACAGAAATGAAAACTTCACGTAAAATATGATACATTAAAAATTAAAAAAAAACCCCTACCAACTTGGACCGATTTTCATCAAACATAGCTAAGAACACTCCCGACTAAATCACCTTTCAAACAAAAACAAACAAAATAATTCCTCCACGACCGCAGACACGCCGGCGTTACAGTTAACAATAGATTTCTTAGAACTTTAATTAATTTCTTAGAAATTTACTTGGAGGTGATAAAATCGTGTAAGTCCACAAGATTGCACTTTTATTATATTTTATAATAACTTGGGGTACGATGTAACGGAACAAGTAGATACAAATTGCGTTCTTTAATTTATTTACGAAAACTCCTTATTATACAGCTTGAATAAAGTAAAACGGACGTACTAACTAAAAGTCTTGAAAAACTATTACTTTATTGTTTAAAATTTTATATGTATAAACTATAAAGACCGAGACAAGAAGTTTCAATTTAAATCTATTTAATTAATCATAACTACTGCTCTTGCTTCTGTCAGTGAAATATGTGATATGTAACAAATGGAGAAATAAACAAATTGCTTCTTTGGAACATCGCATTGCAAGACTAATGATCTACTCTCAGGGTTAAATGTCAAGGCTGGCTGAAGCATACGAGTAAAAATTTTAGCTTTACTCACATAAAATGAAAACGTTTCTTTACTAGTATCTTTATATATATAATTCTTCTGTGAGTGTGTATGTCACTGAACTTCTCTCAAACGACTGGACCGATTTTGATGAAATTTTTTGTGTGTGTTCAAGGGGATCTGGGAATGGTTTAGATTCACAATTTGAATAATAATTTTCATCAAAATGGTCCAGAATGTTTTAGCTTATTAAAAAAAGTTTGAAATTTTCAAATTAAAGACGTGTAGACAGGACAACGTCTGTCGGGTCCGCTAGTTTTACTATAATATTCTAAACGTAATAATGAATAACAAATACGATTTTGCGTGAAATAATTATGCCAGTACATAATGTCGACGTCTTCCACTTGGTATTTCTATAAATAATAATAATAGATGTAGTGATGGGTTCATCTTATAACATTTCATAATAATAATAGTTATCCAAATATTATTATATTAAACCTTAGTTACATGTTATTTTAGTATATAATATATATTTTTGAATATTATCTAGCTAACTATTAATTATTAAAGTAATTTTTTATGTAAATATGTAATTTATCGTTGTTTAAACGTATATTAAGAAGCACTATCTATATTAATCAGGAACGTAGTTTATACTAATATAATAAATAGGAAAGATTTTTTTGTTTATTTGTGTGTACCGAATAAGCTCCGACTCTACTGAACCGATTTAGATGAAGTTTGGTAAGAAGATAGTTTAAGACTCTAGGCACAACATAGGATGGTTTTTATCCCGGAAATCATCCCTTAAATGGGGTTAAAATGGCGATGAAAATTTCTATAGGGAAGTAACCTAGGGACGAATGATTCGCTAGTATTATATATGAATGTTAAACACTCTAATTTAATCTACTGAGTACTCAATTCGAATTTCACTTGCCATTTCTAATGGCCATGACCTAAATTTTATAATTACCTGTGGGTCATCATCTTGCGCCAAACTCCGCCTCTTCATAGCGAAATCTTTCACCACATGACTGTTCTCAGTGTTGGTGTCCACATTGAAAGTTTTCAATCTCAATATTGGGCTAATTGGGCCTAAGGGATTGTTATATTTGTTATACGTCAGATATTTGTTAGCAGATTGATTGAGAGAAGGGTGAGGCGACATAGATGAAGGGTTCGAGGCAACTTCGACGATGCTTTGGATGCTTGGTCTTTGCGCTCGCTTCTTGGGTTTGACGTAAGTCCGCGAGTCGAATTTGTGCTTATCTGGTATTGACACGTCATCTAAAACAAAAATTATTATAAGTCTCAGCAATTATTGTATAAGCAGTTACACTGACCCTGAGTTAAAAACCACAGTTAATAAATAATAATTACTATTGAATATTGATATATGCAATATTGGCTTGAATTATAATTATCATTTGTACAGACAGCTGTATTGCATTTGCAAAGACAGTGAAAAAACAGTGAGACAACCTGAACTCTAAAGGCATTTTACAGCTCGTCGCTTATTGTAAACGTATTGATACTCGTATACCAATAAGGACGGTACGATAAATAAAAAAAAACGCGTATATGTATGTACGCACGTAAGAAGTTATATTTCTTTGGCATAACAGAAAATAAATAGCTAAAGATTTCATCCCGTATGTCAAAACTCTCTGTTTGTAAAAGAAATGCAGCCAACTTCATCATGTCGCTTTTTGGCTGTCGGTGTGCGCGCGTATCCTAAAAATTTGACTCTCATATTTTTTTCAAACGTGCCAAAAGAAGTATAACTTCAATATATGAGTATTTCAATGTTCATAATAAAAGTCATTTAATTCTAATTATACGAGTCTTAGACAACTTGCGTGCAAAGGTGAACGGACTAGTGCGAATGACGTAAGATGCTGTCATAAATAGAATATTCTCCTGTTATATCATATTTGATATTAAGTAAATGTTCTTTAAAATTACCATTAAATATGATTTCGTTATCAAATAAGTAATAAAAATTACAAGTCATACTGTGTATAAGTTGTAATTCTGCATATTTTTCGGGTGATATAGATAAAATTGATTTATGTCAATGACTAAAAGTTATTTGTGGCAAGTTATCTTATTGATTAGAACATGTTACGTCTATATAACACTTAAGAAGTTTAATAAATATTTTATAATGAGCTTGTAGCATAATATCAGCTAGCTAGAACGTAAATTGCCACTCATATATCAACAAAGCAACCTAAAATAAAATTATTATCAGTACAAGTACCGTGTACGTAATTTGAGTACTTCTCAACTACTCTCAACTTTTAAAAGCCTTCTTACATTTATTATTACAGGAATGTTATTTGGCATTGCAATTTTAATCTATTTTTAACCGCACGCAGTGTCGAAATATCAGGAACTCGAAAAGATAGAAAATATAGTAAATATTCCAGTTCTAATCATAACAATAATGTCAGCGATTATTAAAGCTTATACTTGTATTTTAACCGACTTCAAAAATAGAAGGTACAAATCTGGGATGCATGTATTCCGTTATACGAATTGCGATGTGTTCGAAAATTTTTATACCGATTTTTTTTAATGTTATACTTGGAGAATGACCATAATATAAATAAAAAAAACGTCCCTAACTTTGAAATAACTAATTCCAATATCATCATATTGTTTACGAATATCTTTCATAACGTAAAATACATCATTTCTCTAAGTTTAAATCTTAAGTTTTATTGCAACTTTTCAGCGTTCCATCATTAAAGTGCACCACACGCCGCAAATGAAACTACAAAGAGAACGCGAATGCATACAGGGTATGAGAATTTTTAGACACGTTTACTGGCGCTTGGATAATTATACCTACTCCTTTTAAGTTTTTACTTTTAAAGCGCTAAAAAGCTACTTTTCGGCATCTGAAATTAAACTCAACGAACCCGTTACGTTAATAGGAACGAATGAAGACTTCTTAAGTAGTTGCAATCACATTAATGTTGTAAATACAAAAGTTTTGGACAAAACGGATTTGAATTAAACTCTACGAAGATAGCTTATACATAGAAATACTTATATCTATATTAACAAAAATTGCTGAATCTATCTAGTGTAAAGTATGTAATACATAATTATAGACATATTCTGAATTGATGAATGACAAGAATTGTTTTATAGAAACATGAAATTAGCAGTCCTATTATGCACTACTTACAATTAATAATAATCATTTGTTTGTTTGTATGTATTGGACAAAATTTGATACTACCGAAATGCTTCTAATAATGCTTCTACTAATTTAGAAAAAGCTATATATAGTATAGCCCCCAAATAATAATATTAAGCTATTGAATATTGATATACAAAATTCAAGATGCACAATAAGTCTCAACAGTGTCCTTAAAAAAAAGTGCACAATTCGAAATAATGCGCTTTTCTCAAATCTCTTGTTCATTGCTATTCGGACGACAAAATTAAAAAGCTCGATGTTCTGTTTAAAGTATTTTATGTGGCGTGCGTAAGTTGGAATATGTGTTTAAACATAGACTAGAAGGTAGAATTTGTATTAGAATTGTTAGTTTGTCTTAATGTCACATGTCGACGCCACTTTTTGAAAAGATATTTGTTAGGAAATATGTATGTATTATCTCTAAATGTACTAAACTACATTTGCTCGAACGGAACAACGAGCGGAAATTAGTAAACTATAAAATCTAGACTGACATAAAACAATGTTATTACCGGTCAGGAGTAAATTTAATGCGGAAGCTTCCCGTATAGTAACACTTGGACAGGAAATGTCGATCACCGACTACACTTGTATTTGTAACGGTGTTAGATTGTCGACCTTAATCCTTAATTATACGTAGTATGGTGTGACTTTTGTTTTTATTGATGCCATAGAAATAGCTCTGGCTTTCTACAGCCAACTGCATAACGTGATCTTGTAGACTATAATCGCGGGTTTCATTCCAAATGGGAACTTATTTGTATATTATTATATTCGGAAATAGGTAGGTTCATATTCTGATATAGGTACACAGTACAAACTGACCGCATACATAAAAAATATTACAACTCACTGATATGCGACTCACTAACTATATTATATGGAGTTAAACGTCATCGGTTAACAGCTTTATTTCATGGAGGATACCTATGATTTTAATCAATACTGCGATGATTTTTAACATTACTATAGATCATTAAGTCGGGTATAATTTAAATTGGGATAGTTATTTCCGTTAAGCAATCACGATCGATGGACAAAAGGAGTGTCCTTTATAAACTGTGATTGACATTTTACAGCAAACCACACAAGTTAAGTATCGAAAGTGAAAGCATTGGGACTGCAGGACTAGATTAGAATAATAATAATGGAAACGTAGGTGATGTGCATACGGTGACATCATTATAATTGATGTATGTATATGGATTTGCTTATCAAAATTGAACTGTTTATATGGGACGGGCGTGACCGACATTGGTTACGATTGTTTTGTTCGGTTCATTGAGGACTTCTTGTTATTATTGTCAGCAGATATAAGTTTTTTGTCTGTCTTTCCTGCTAAATATTTTCTAAGTAATAAAATATTCAAGCTAAAATGAAAATTATATCTCGTGGTAAGAATATGCCATTTCCATATTGTCTTTTAGTTTTCTATTAGAGACATCGTTTGTAGAAAGTCAAGTAAAATAAGCGATTAGTTAAATTTAGTCAAAAGATATTACGTTAGATAATAGAAATCAAATTTTTTAACCAGAATAATAGTATTGAATAAATTCGTATTAAATTTCATTTAGCATGCAAGTTTACTATAAGAGCATACGTTTTCATTTATCACTTAAATGGCCGTGCTACTGTAATGAATGCTGTTTATGACTCATTTCATTCGAAGCGTATAACTGTAAAATAACAATAACACCTTTGAATAAACATTGGAACAATATCTTTAATTTGTTTTTACACACTTGCACTTGACATCTTGAAATTACAGAGTTGAACATAATATGAAAAATATAAGAATAAAAATCAGGACATTTTAACTTTAATTAAGAAGTTTGTTTATTGGTTGTCCGTCCGTATTGTGAGAATTCTGTAAGTAAAATTCTTCAAATTACTCACAATATTCCTAAAACACAATATATTTTTATTAATATATAAGAATGAAAACAGAATAAAATCGTATTTATCTAAACAATTAAAAAAACTGATCAACGTAAAGAAGAAACAAGAAAGATGACTATAGACGGCGATGGATAATCTCTTCCAAAAATAAAATTAAACCTTTATTCAGACTTGACTTGATTGAGAAAAATAAAACAAACGTATAACAAATGTGTGGTACAGGTGAAACGAGTACTTTGCAGCTGACTTGTAAAACCAGTAAAGTGACATACTTTTTTTTCATTTACGAAGAATACTTATGAATTTTTGAAATTACCAATAGAACGAGGCAGTGGTAACCCAAGTACGCGGTAACGCTTACCCGGTAACGCGCGCGCTTAGGAAGCCCGAGTGAAGCGGGTTCGAATACCAGGTCTCGCACCTCTGATATTTTCATGTGTGAATCATTTCTAACAGCCTTACGGTGAAGGAAAATATTATGAGGAAACCTGAATGTCTGAGAGAAACTAACAAGTTTTCGAAAGACATGCGGAGTCCGTCATCTCATACTTGGCCAAAGACTATGTCATAATCTCCCTGTGTGTGCCCAGCAGTGGGACGTTAAAAAGGGCCAAATATAATACCAATAAAATGAATCATTTTTATAATTGAAAAAGTTGATTTTTCTATATGAAAATTATTTGTATGAACACATAAATCATAAACAAATTTATTTAAATTTTGACTTGAATTATAATCCATATATTAAAGCTTTAATGGAGTACATTACATATTTTGTATGGCAATAATATTTTAAAAGTGAACTTCTCAATAGTAGACCTGCGGAATGCATGACTTTCTGAAAAAGGATTTAATTAGCAACATTTTTAAATTGGCATGCGTAATGACTAGTGCCAATTTAGGTGTAAAGGTAGAGACCTATGAAACTCAGTCTAGCTAATAATTATAAGTGTATATAAGAGTAATAAAGAATATATTAATTAAAGTATTTTATTTTTGTATAGCCAAGTACCTATATATCTATGTAAGGACGGAAAGACAAATATTATGAAAGTGGTGTTATTAGCCTAATATTGTTTTATATCTTGCCTAGAAGCCCTTCGTATTTATAATATGTTTGGCTCAAAAGGGAACAAATATGATCATACAGTTAGGTAGCTTATTTTTGCAAAATGGAAAACAGAAAAAAATGTTGTAGGTTTTCCTCTAACATGCATTAATGGTTTGACGGAAGTTTTGCATAGAGATAGTTAATGGAGCGTGAAGTAATATACTACTTTGATTATTTTTTCTACGTTTCATAAAATATACAAAAAGTGCCCGAATTTCTAAACATACCAACAGTTAAACACGAAATAAAAAAGTAGCAATAAAAACATAAAAAGGGTAAAAAATCATCCAAATAAACTAGCTGAGCAGTTCACTATGCCGATGGCCATGAGGCGATTAAAAAGAAAACATTTTACATATATTATATACTAGGTCCTAGGTCCGTTTTAACGGTTAGTATATAATAGGCAGATAAACAGTTCTAAACTTTTCGATTTTCTAGTTGTTTTTTTTACAACCAAAGGCCGTTAGATCTCTTACACCTAAAAGAATTCTTCCCAATAGAGAACGTAATCTTAAACGACCAAATTACTCTCCACGCATCTGTTCATAATTATTTCACAGATAGCAAGATTATGTCAAATTTTTATTTTTTATTTTGTTTACTATTAAAATCCTTTTGTGCTGGAGAAAGCAATCAACGGTTCAATTCTAACTCAAAATATATTAACCTTCTAACAGCTACCGTTTCCATCCTATTGTGATGTAATGTAAATTGTGAGAAATTGGTTCATTCAATAAAAACGTCTCGTATACTATGTATTTGTCAGTTCGAGACGACGTTAATGCGAAACGGAAACACTACTTAGCTTTACCTAACCATAAGGAAGAGATGTTGTTATCATTTATTATTATTTAGCGCATACATTATCGGTATCCTAAGAAGTCAAGATTACTTATATTATGAACGTTAAAAATACAATAATTATTAATAAATATATAAAATACTTAATAACGAACAAAAATTGTTAATTCTTAAAAAAAAATTGAGATAGACAAAGCAATCGATACTCTCGCTATCCAAGACGTTAAGAATTCTTCAGCTTTTCTATTTTCTAATGCTATTAAAACTTGTATTAGTTTCAAAGTTCAAACTATTCCTCCTGTATTACTAAGGTATTTCGCGTATTTTGGTAAACCTCGTCTCAACATACAAAATAACAATAATTTCATAACTAGAATACACAACAAACATAGCACAATTATTACTATGTGCAGATATCGAACCTGGGACTTTGATAAAATTTTCTTCTTGTTTGCGCAGTGTGTACGAATTCATATCGCACTGTGGCATGCGCACGTCTAATCATTTAATCAATGTAATTTAAGACACAATACGGATGTTATATCTTATCCTTTTAATTGAAAACCTGATAACGGATTTAATTAAATAACTAGGTACATATGTTTTAGCGTTTTCAGATTCATAAGATTCATTCTAATTTGCAGCGAACGAAAAAATGTTTTCCCACAGTAAAAAAAAAACGTTATTTTAATTAACTCATTCACTGTTCCATAAAAGTAAATTGCAATCGATGCAAAAATTCCAAAATTTAACATAAATCTTGGTCTAAAATTGTTAAATGGACGCCGCCGATTAAGATTGCCCTATTTCGAAACTCATTGCAATCGATAAACCATGAAACTAAAGTTCTGATGAATCACTGGGAGAGTACGTATGACACAAAAACCGGAAGCAAAAACGATCTATATAGTGTGCTAGTTAGTGTATAATATCTATCTTCTTATAGGAAATATTTCTTATATTGAAAAATTGTCGTGCAACAGGTCGACTTCCTCGTTCACTTCCTACGTGGAGTCTTATTGCTCGATAACGGTAGCAAATGCCGTTGAGTTATTTTTATGTTTCGCATTTAGTTACACTTGACAAGTTTCAAGATTATTTAATTAACTTGTCATCTTACAGTTTGTACTTTAAATAGTGTTGTTGGAATTTTTAATATCGTTATCTATACTAATATTATAAAGAGGCCGAGTTTAATTGTTTGAACGCGGTAATCTAAGGAACTTGCATTAGATAGCCCGTTTATTGACGAAGGTCGAAGGCTATAGGTTATATATCATTATGCTACTACCAAAGAAAGCCGAGTAGTAATATAATATATTCTATTCCGAATATATATTCCATATTCACCATTGAAACGTATCTAGGGACGAACCCGAGCGAAGCGAGTGTGAGCCGCTAGTGGATGAAATATAGTCAATAATCTATTTTTATACTAAAAAATTAATATGACCTTTTATAAAATAGACACTTTTTGCAATGTACATTTTTTTGCGTGTGAGATTAGACACGAGAACGAGAAAGAAAGAGAATTTATGTGGTAAATAGTATCCCATAATAATTTCGGATTAAATTACATATCGAATGATTCATTACTATTTGAATTAATATTACATATTAGTAACATTAGTAAGAATTTATAGTAATTTTATTTACAAGTAGCAAAAGTCATTAGAAGGCGCAATTGAAATGGAGTCATGACGTATGATGATAAATAATAACACATTTAAAACGACATTAGTCTTATTAAATAATCACATCGACATTGAACTGCTCTGTGACTTATCTGTTATTACGTTTTGTGAGTATTTTTATGTCTACACTAGCAACTGACCCTCGCTTCGCTCGGGTTCGTCCCTAGTAAAAAACAAAAATAAATCCCACAGGAATCGTACATTTTTACAGGATAAAAGGTATCCTATGTGCTATTCCAGACTATAACCTATCTCTGTGCTAAATTTCATCCCGATCCGTTCAGCAGTTCTGGCGTGATTAAGTAACAAACATCCAAGCAAACTTTCGCATTTATAATATTAATGAGATATTAATGGGATTGCAAGAATAAGGTAGATTGAGTACAGACTACAGACTATACCTCTACAACCTCTTTATGAATAAAGGTATTAATAATCTTACTATGAATATTTTAGTGTTTTCATTATTTATTGATTATATTTTTATCAAATCGGTTTTAGCAACTTTGGACTTTCATCGTGTCACTTCTCACAGCTGATTTAAGTATTCTACAAATGTTCGCGATTTTGAAGCCATTAAGTTGGCACGAAAAAAACATTTAATTCGAATACATGTGTATGTGTGGAAAATTTTCCAATTATACAGTCTTCTTGAACATCGATTTTATATGGTAGTACTTTATTAGAAGACATTTCCAAAAAATATTGCAAATAGTATAGCTCATCAAAAGGCCTAAAATTTTAATATGAGCAACCATAATAGTCTTTATTACTATAAACTAATTATTATAAGTAATGCTTTGTTGAAACTCTATGAAGCATGTTATATTTCATTCATCCATAACTTTTAAGTCATTGTTTTTTAAAACAATTGATATCTTATTAATAACTGTATCAATTATGTGTCTAAACAAGGTAAGCAAACTTTTACATTTAAATAATACTAATGTTATAAATGTGAAAGTTCATGAGGATGGATGGATGCATGGACGTTTGTTACTCTTTCACAGCAGAATGGCTGAATGGATCTGGATGAAATTTGACACAGAGATAGATTATAGTCTGGAAAAGCACATGGGTTACTTTTTATCCCAGAAAAATGTACATTTCTCGTGGAATAGATTTGTTTTTGTCTAGGGACAAATCTGAAATGAAATATGGGTGAGTCTAGCGACATATTTAATAAAGATAGGCAGTCAGATTAAAATAGTTTAAATCAAAATTAAGGTAAAGACATGTATAAATCGTTACTTACTTTTAAGGAGGTTATCCAATATACTATACAATTCCTTTTCGCATTTAAGATAATCATCATCTTCATTAATAGGCCAATCACATGACAAATTGTATTCAACTATGTCCACTTTTTGGCCCGAGTCCTCTGGGATAATAAATAGCCTGTACAAAAATTATAAGCATACATATAGTTTTGAAATTTTTTGTAACTACATAATCCTTATAATAAAAATATATATTATAATAAAAATTGTAGCCAATGAAGATGTATGGTTATATATATGAGATATGTATATCTTCTTCTTCTTCCTGCCCATTTCCCAAATTACTTGGGGTCGGCGCAGTATGTCTACCATACTGCTGATCGGTTTTGGCAAAAGTTTTACGACCGGCCGCCTGCCTGACATCAACCCTCATACAAAATACAACCTGATATGTATATATAAATATTTTACAAATATTATACACCTTTCAGAATAAAATTAAACAAATATAATATGGAATTCAAAATTATTTGTAAACTTCCTTGTGATATGTTCTTTAAATCAAATACAATCAGACAACATGAATATCAAATGTTCAAATGTTATGTTCTAGAAAACAATAAATTAAATTCAATTGATTAATTTGCTACACAATTTATCTTATCAAGACAGATAAAGAACAAGATATACTAATTATTACTAATAAATTATGATATTTTGGCATTAAATTTAATCACAAAAATAAAAAATATGAAACAAAAAATAATAAAATATTAAAAATAAATGCACATACATATATGAAATTTCACTTTTTTACAATTGAACATGATTGATATTACATTTATATTAAATAATGTAAGTAGCCAAAAGATGCTAATGGACAATATGGATACCTTAAACTTAGCTTCAATTTAAGAATGTGGCAGTTTAATTGTAAAAAAAATAATAATGAAAACAGGTATTAGACTTGCCAAGTTTGGGTCTAGTTATGTGACACACATTTGTTGTTATTATGGAGAAAGGTGGGAGTTTTAATTAATAATTCATTTAAAAAAAGTACTTACCAGGTCTGATCATCTGAAAAATCGAGGGATTCCACGTCAATAAGATCAGAATCAATCATATCTTTGTTTATATTTTGATCAAACTGATTCATAATACCGATAAAATCGAGACATCAATTTGGCACTTTTCACAAATCACATACAAATTTATTAAGCAAGATCTACATTTAAAATAAGAAATACTGTATAGGTATAATATAAAGTAAAAAAGATATTATAAGAACCTACGCGAAATTGCCCCAGACAAGTTTAGTTTGGAATTTGACATATCACCATAAGTGCCAAAAATGACGAAACAACGGTAAAATTCATAGATATTTTTTTGTCTTTAGCTAAAATCTAGCAACAGCAAGATATTTATTTAAATTATTTCATTTTTATATTTATCTATGGGGTTATTATAGTAGTTCAAATTTTATTTATTAAATATTTACTACGCTTCATTCAATTTTTAATATTGCCATCAAATAAAAATGTCTATGGCTATTTGAAAACTTGTAACTCTTGACATTTAAAAGTCTTTCTTTTTTGTCTACGGACACGTCGTGAGCACGTTGTTTGGTGATTTTTACGTGCAAAACTCTAAAAATGTCGGCCCATCTAAACTGGATGATTATTAGAAACAACAATGCCTTCCTTGTGAAGAAGCGCAACATCAAAAAGCCATTCAGTAAGGAGCCCAACAATGTGACTAACCTCAACGCATTCAGATACAATGGTCTGATCCACAAAAAGGCCATTGGCGTGGTCGAGAACCCCAACAGGAAAGGCTTCACTGTGGTGTACAAAAAGGCTAAGGCTACTAACAAACCAGCACAAAACTTAATTCGCCGTCAATACAAAGCCGGTGCTAGAAGATCGTTGCACAAGGTAAAAAGGCTGATCAGAGCTAACAACTACCGCGCAGACTTAGCCAAAGCTACTCTTCGTCGTGCGTCTGCTATCCTCCGCTCCCAAAGGCCCATTAAGGCTAAGAAACCCAAGGCAGCAGCGGCCAAAACTGAATAATTTTGTATATAAGGTGACAATAAAAAATATAAAATCCTAAATCCTTCTCTTATTTTTTAACACCTTTGGATGAGTGATTATACTCAGTATCTATTTAGCAACTATTATCAACATAATATTAGTGGACATTTGTATAAATTTATAACAATTTTTCTTTTGCCAAATAAAATTTAGGTGAATCATTTCATTCATAATATTTAAAGAACGCAATTGGGTAAATAAAAACCAAATGTATCATTTTCATCTTATTTATTCAAATCAAATCTTTTAAGACATATGTTGGAGAATAAATTCATTTTATGTTTTACATAAATATATTAACTAATAAGCCTCAAACATGATTTAAATAAATATATCATTCAAATATTTAAAATATACTTGGACAAATGGTAAAATATTTCATGATACATATTTATGTACATAAATGCAGTTTAAATTTAAAAATTGAGAATGTTTTATCTTACTCATATAACATACTAATAAATGTAGTTATCGTGGTCACAAGATATCACCACAATTGCTGAAAAACATAATGTAAAAGATAATTTTATTCAAAATGTGAAATATTTGTGTAAATCTAAGGAAGTATTAAATGTAGTTGAGTACAATTTAATGTAATTAGAAAAGTGAGCAATTATTTTTTATAAAAATTACCTTTGCTATATAAATAAATCAAATTGATTTCTACTGTAATATGGACTGGTAATTGAATATGAATTCTTGTGTTATAAAAATTCCAAGACGGTGCAAATGCTTGTATACAGTACATTACAAATATTTACATCCTATATAAACCAGTAATTTTCAGCATATATTTTTAAACTAAAAATGAGATTGATGCAATTAGTGTATAAAAACAATAATCTAAAACATTTACCTACTACTACACATCAAAGGTACATATATTCTTAGCTAAAAATGATAAGTTGCTTGCTTTACTCAATTTCTCAACTTTGTAAAAGGCTATAATTTTATTTTGGGAGCAAATTAAATCGTACTGTGAAGACAAAATTAATTTATTTTCCATAATATTTTAATTTTATTCTGTTTTACTATCATATTTATCAGCAATTTATCATTTTCAGTTAGCAAGTTACAACGACATTCTACCAGAAGTGTAAAGCATTCCTAGTCTACGATAGATAAGCATTTACAAAAAGCTTCAGGTACAAAATACATAGTAGATGTGGAAATAAAAGGCACAAACATTTAACCTATTTTATCAAAGGCACAATACACCAAATATTATATCTTAATACATATTATGTATATGTTTAATATGGGACGATATTAATAATTAGAACATTTTTAACTGTAATAAAAAAAAGGAAGAATACAATATTCAATTCAAATTTTCTATTAAAATTATGACTCATAAATTATTTTATATAAAAATACTTTTTACTTATATAAATTATATTTTTACCATAAACATTGAGAATGAACTAAGCAACACTCGCTAGAAAGAGAGAAAGCGAACGATCGGCCAATTCCTATCTTTTATTTCAAATTAAATTACTTAAAAATGGAATGTAGAAAATTATAATATTATAATGGAATGTAAAATGGTTATAAATATCTATCTCCATTAATCGCATTTCAATTAATACTGAAGATTTATGGCCGCACATTCGTTTTGTCTCTGTCGCTTCTCCGCCATTTTAAGCTGACGGGTAGCAAAGAAACACTCAGTCCACTCTATAGGTCTATGATATTTACTAAAAAGGTGTCATTAATTCCAAAAGAATTGTAAAATGTATATAGGAAAAAATAAATCAAGATGAAAATTTTGTGCTAAGATTGAGAATACCTTCACTTCATACACTAAAAGCTCGTGAATCAATGCTTTTAATCTATTTTCATTATTTATCGTACATTTGATTTAACTTCTTTTTAAGCTATCTAGACACATATCCTATATAGGCACACATTTAATTTTTCTACTCTTAATTTAGATTTGTTCAATACACCAAGGGGTTAATTTTGGATTGTATTCATGTACATTGATTATAACTAATAATTTAATAACATAGTTATTTTTCATTTGCGCAAATAAAAATATATGTAATACTTTTTTGTGTAAAAACGTTTGTAAGATGGGTATACATTTATATGAGTAGTCTCCAAAGACATTTAAATAGTTAAGGTAGATAGACACCTTACTATACTCATTTTTTCATTTTCAAGTATAATACAATCCATAATTAAACCTAACTACATCAATCTATATATCTTTAAATACATATTCAAAAGCTATAAGGCAGTGGGAATGACTGGAATGTAATGTTATTGTCGGAATAGAAGAAACACTTATTGCCATAGTAATACTGGATTGGTCGAATTTTCTTAATTTAATAATGAAATGTGAATCATTGTGCGGTTAGAGTTGTTACATATGCAGAGATGAGCGATTTAGCGCTAAAAATATTATGTGCTGTTAGACGGTAATATTTAAATAAATTAAACCAAAATGGCGGCTTTTTCTGTCTATGGTTACAAAACTTTTCTTCAACATTATCCGATGACAACTTTTTAAAATACTTATTTTATAATAATAGAAAATCTTTTTAAGAGTGCGTAATTACATGATATATAAGAAATTAACTCATTAGACCTCACTGAATATCAAATTACATTGCGTTATAACGTTAGTGACTGTAGCACAATAATTGTAATATAGCCAACAACCGAAGCGGCTTTGGTACTTTTTTTACTATTAATTTGTGTATAATTATTACTATTGTAAAATTTGATCGTGATTAAAACGCTAATGGTAAAAATACTTAATGATCTAAATTACATTCTAAATACATAAATGACTAGTATAAAAAAACAATTCACATAATTTTGAACGTAATGCGAAACTTAAAAATTAAAGGCAAGTAAAATTAGGCGTTTAAAAAAAGTAACAAAACACAGACTAAAAAATGATATATCTGACGGAGCCACCCAAAATATACATATGGCCAAGTCAAAAATAGTAGCGTGATTTGCAGTTTATGCTACTATTCTCGATTAAGCCATACAGAATATAGTTTACTTTCTTTGAAGAACAAGGGAAGTTATTTATATGTACTAATTAAATTAATATACAATTTTCGAGAACAAAATAGCAATAATAAAAATAACACAAGGTATATTCTATTATATTTTTAGTCTAAAATTATAATCTGTATATTATTTTAAAAGATTACTGTTTGACTTCACTTCTATTTATAAGACACTGTCTATATTATTCTTTAGTCTGAGATTTGATATTATCACCTACAAAGTTCCTGTGAGATAAAAAGTATGAAATAAAAGAATGTACATTAATTGACATATAGTGTAAGACCGAAAATAGTTTTTGCAACCGAAAAGAAATTTATATTGTACAATACATATTGACACTTTCTTTTAAAACAATTTTGATTCAAATTATATGATTATCTATTATTTGAATTACAATAACAATTGAAAAAAAATCGTGCTTCTTACAATTGGAGGTTGGATATATTAATAATTTAGCTAATAGCTCTAAAATAATATTTAATTAATTGTAATTGATCTAGAATAAAAACCTATGTCGAACTTTCCCTAAGACACACGAAAGCTTACAAATGTTAATATTAAAACTTCGGTCTTACACTAGTCACATCTCATATGATTCTTCACAAACACTAGAAACAAACTAATCTAAGTGAAACCAAAACGAAAATCGATCCCGGCACTACCAGCACATTAGTCTATATCACTATACTACGAACATCATCTCCATAACTCCATAACCAATTATACACTTCAAATAAATACTGGAATGTTATTCACATTTACTTACTTTACACAAAGAACCTTTAGATGTGCCACAAATTATTATTCTTTAATACTAAAAGATGTACTAAAATAAAAAAAAAAATAGTACATAATTAAATAATAATTAAAAAAAAGTAAAAAAAATAAAAAAAAAACTAACAAGCTAAATCTGTACATTAAAATTTTTTTGGAAAATCTTATTGAAATAAACATTATTATCGATCCAGAGGCCGAATGTATAGTTTTTAGAATTTTTGTCCAATCCACTGGATAGATTTTGCTGAAATTTGGTATGATGATAGCCGGTTATCCGGGTCCAACATATAGGATACTTTTTGCTGCAGGAAAATAACCCGAACGGAGCGAGGGTGAAACGCTAGTATAATATGTAGCACATCTAAGGTATAAATCCTTCTGGAATACTTGTACCATACAGCTAGTTTTTATATAATATTGACTTACACTCGAAGGTTGACCATTATGAATGACATTGATTGGGCAAATTCATTTTTAATGTCATAAAAAAAAATCATTATTGTATAAGTGGCATAATAAATAAAAATTACTGTAAAATCTATGAGACAAAAATCAATCACGATATGATATAATAACAGATAATTAAATAAATTAATTAAAAAAATGTTGCCATAATTTAGAAAATTTTGATTGATAAAATAACTATGTTAGTTACAATAAAATATATGTCATATAATAAAATTTCATCTAAAATATGAAAATATATATAATTTTATACTATTATTATAATCCTATAATCATAGTCATTCATAATCGGGTAAAACTAAACTTAGTTCTGGTTCGATGAGACAAAAATATAAACACAACCTACGTCAAAAACAAGCACCTAAAACATAAAACATGTGCGTTAATTTCCTTAAATATTTATTTTTTCGTTCAATTAAAGATATGTTATATTTTACCTATGACTTTTCATTTATTATATTATACATATATAATTATGTATATTAAAATACTGTGTAATAATTACTTAAATGTTATTAGTAAATTTCAATATTATTTTAAAATTGTGATGATTTGTTAATCTGTGACATATTGCGTGCATATTTAAGAAAACCCATTCATTCGTTGGATATACTTAATAATTATTATGAAAAGTAACACTGGGAACATCATTATAATCGGTGTTAAAACATTTGTACTAAATTGAACATTATGGCATTGGTTTAAGGTCTATCCATTTCATTATAAATTAAATGCAATGTTATTCAAATTTTATATAAAAAGCAACATGAATAATAATTTAGAAATAATTTCGTCATTATACAATTAATAATACAGTAATTTCATATTATAGATTCAAACAATAAATTAAAAAAAAAAACATGCCATCACATAACTCTTTGCTATAAAATTTAAATGACACAATATAATCGCTACCATAGACTAAATACAAAATGGAGACCATAGCCAATAACAAAGGAGATCCCAATACAAAACCTATTCGCAAGCCAACTTGCTGTCAAACGAGCTGAGTGCAATACCAAAGGCTTGCAAAGCACACAACGGATACCTATAATCCATAGTGAACACATCCTCAGAGATCCTACCGAATTGCATAGCAACATAATCTGGTTCAGAATCGTGTACAATTTGGAAATTTTTCACACTTGCCTGAGTGACTCTGCCGTGGAAATTCAAGACATAGGATTGAGTTTCATCATTCCATACTGGTGTTTTATTGTGTAGAACCACTATGTCATCGAAATTTTGGCTTTTCCACCGCTCTAATAGTGTTTCGCTGTCGTCCTGAGGCGCTATTGTTACTCTTTGACGGTCAGGTGTCATTCCGGGGAGGATGACCGTCATTTTGCGTGGTCCTTTGAAACCGAGGACGTTTGTATCCTACAATGGTATTTTAAGCATTATATGTGTATATATTGAAATTAATACAGCAAAAATATATACTTTTTTCTATTTGTTCGTTTATACGAGTATGTGAAATAATTACAAAAAATGTTTTTTCTTTTGTTTTAACTTACTAAATTGACTTAAATTACAATTTTAATTTTAGAGTATTTCTATGATAAAAATGTACTCTACAACCTATAAACTCATCTTCTGTAACTTCCACAAACAATACCGAGGGCTACAATTAGTAAAAACAAAAACCAAATACCCACATAAACCACAGCTGCCAACTCATGACGAGGTGGGTCTCTATGGTTTTTCCTCCATGCTTTCCCATTATCGTACACCGTGAAAGCAGTTCCTAGTAAGTTAGATCTCAATTTCCCGGCGAAACTATCCGCTTGTCGTGTTAATTCCGTGGGATCGGTAGATATCAAGTAGTTGGATGTTGCTGACTTCTTGCGTTTACGACCTGGAAGGGATATGAGTTAGGACTTAGGTTTTATTTAATGCGCCTAGGCCATTCGGCACAATAGCGAGTTTTCATGGGATCGCGATGGGTCTAGCCACATAACATGGGCACTTCTGCGAAACCGGAGACACTTCACTTAGCTGTCGGTAAATTCATGCATATCAAAGGATTTTATCGCGATAAACTTAGTTTTTTATATAACTTGGACCATACTTTACTCGTAGTCGGTGCTTAGACTTGGAGTGGACGTATAGCATAAACTAGGTCATAAATAGATACTATAAATAAACAATTTCGATATAAGTAGATTAAATAAACGAGAAAATTTTAGATCTTATTTTTTAACAATTATTTGGTGCCATAATATACAGAGCGACCATGCCGTCCATTTTTTTCTTGGTATGGCAGAAAATCTAGTACTTGTCTTTCCATTACATTAGTAAATTTAAAAATTTAGATTTGAATTATTATGATGTTCTCCTAGCCGATTCCGGCCACGACGGCCAATCTCATTGAGACTAGCCAACTGCGCAGGAGATATTATAGTGCACAAGTGTACGCGCAGACATAAGTGCACTCTCTAATCCTGTCACTCTCATACTCCGGTGGCACGACTGTTCGACACGACCAGTGAGAGTTAAGGCGCAGGACCGATGGTTTTACATGCTCTCCGAGGCACGGAGGTGAAACACCGCTAACTTCCCCACTCCGGGCTGTTACTTACTATACAGAAAGACTCAATAACTAAACTTGGCCCGACCCGGGACTCGGACCCAGGACCTCCGGGTGTGCAGCTGTACATGCTAGCCACTACACTACCGAGGCAGTTATTATACCTACTATAGCTAGACGTAGAAATGGACGAGTTATTTTTTTTGTTAGGACATTTGCTACATTAGGACATATACCTACCTCCAGACTTACAAGAATAATTAATATCTTTTGAATGAGTAATATTTGACTGACACACATATGTATTGCAATAATGTTATTGAACAAATCTCAACACTATCTATACACAATAAAGTATAAACCTTACAAAAATATAGACAAAAGTCAAAAAACTCAAAATTGAACCATAATAAAATAAAAATTAAAAACATGTTAACCCACCTGCCAATAAAAACACTTTCTTTCCATAATCTTTTTCCAGATGCAAAAAGTATGTTGGGTACAATCCTCTATCCATACCCTTTCTATCCCTTGCAATACGACACTTGTATAGGGTCCCATGCTTCGCCGGTGTTGTTACGAAGGTTTCCACAGAACCTTCGACTGAACCTTCTATTTCTGCCGTCTGTAAATTGTATAGTCAAGGCCTTAGAAAATTGTGGTGAAACAAGGGCAGTAAATATACCTAAGTATTTTCATAACACCTTTGATTTCAATAAGTTATTGAAATACATGCGGAATATTATCTAGATCTAGATGCTAGACTTAGTGAAGACAGGTCACTAATTAAGTGAACTTATATAGTTTTAGAACCATATAAGTTATTGTAGATTCGAATGTAGTTTAGTTATATCTTCACGCTATATTTGAGATTTCAGAGAAAATCGGCAATCGAGGATAGCTTATATAGTTGGGAAATGCAATTACGTACGTATACACCTGCATACATACAGGTGGTTATGTGGGACTCAGCGGCCAGAAAAGCCAGTACTACCCACTAAATCCAACGGAACCTCCCCCGTCAAAAATGGAGAGTCGCAGGATCACTTAAGCAATCTACCTGCCTTTCGAGGCAGACCACAACAACCAAGAGGTTGCTCGAACGGTCCACTCTGAGATAATTCATATTTTGGACAAACTACTTTTTATAGACGTACCTATTTATAATGTCAGCTAAGTGGTGCATAATAACTAGTAATTTACAGTATGCTAAAATAATGTATCTAATGTAAACATATAATGGTATATAACAATAAACAAAAATGTTGGCTAATTGAGCAGCTATATTAACATACACAAAACACTTACACGTCTTACGCGTCTCATCAAACGCATCATTTCAATTATAATGAATGAAAAGAGCAATTCAAATATCAAATATCATTTATTTTATTACGTTTAACTTATGAACACAAACTTCACAGCACCGTCACAGTTACAACGACACAGACTAATATTTATATGAACTTCTTATTCATTTTGTTACAATTAGATGGAAAATATAACAAACCGCATTAAGTACGTAGTACAGGTGACTAATTTAATGAACATACACAATAATGTACTATTCAATAATTATATTACGTATAGAAGTTTGGTGAATCATAAAGAGGAAGTTACGTCATTTAATGTGTAAACTACTGTTTGTAGTACGCACATTTCATAGAAACAATAGATAAAAATAATAAAGTAAAATACTTAGAAGAAAGGTTTTTTGTTAAAAAAGATAACCAATTTTTGTTGTGATAATTATTAATTAATGACCATCCCCTAAGAATATACGTCTTAAGTGCCTTTGATGTTTAGGGATAAAAGTAACGTCACATTCCGGTCTGCAAACTGTTTGAAAAAAATAAATAAAAACAAGACTATTATAATATGTCTGTTGCTTTATGACTGCATAAATGGAGGACAAACCGAGATTAAAACTTTTTCAGTCAGGATTTAAGTAGAGAAAAAAACTTATTGGAAACGTGAAGTTTTATGATTTTAAAATGTTAGCAGGTATATAAGGAATAGAAATTAGTAAAATGCCCCACATGCCCAGCTACCCCCGAGAAATGGGAGGACGCAAAGCGTTGAAAAATAGTTTTTGACAATTTCCGGCTTACTGTGACATTCTATCGAAAAATGGTTGTACAAAAGTTGTAGGTCTAGTAAAAATCTACAACTTTTATAAATAACACTTTTTACAATAACCTCAAAAATTTTGAAATATTTGCAAAAAACTCTGTTTTTACTTTTTTTTTGGTTTTTTTATTTATAATTTCTAGAATAATCTTTTGATTTCCATGAAACTAAGGGAACGTAATCTAAGAAATACATAATAATAACAAATTTAAAGTAAAATGAAATAGTAGAAATGTTTAGACGTTTCCGAGAAAAGTATGTTTTATGGTCTCGAAAGGCTGAAAATCACCACTAACTTCAAGTGGGCGTTTACATTTAAAAAAAATTGTTCAATTATCAGATAAGGCTCATTCTTTTCATCTTGAACTCTATTTTTTGAAAATATATTTTTTTTGTAAAAACACCCTTAGAAATTTAAAAAATTAGAGAAATCGATAATTTTTACTTTGTAAACTACATTTTTTTCAATCATTATTGAAGAAGTGTACTTAATTGTTCAAATTTATATAAACTGATTACACCAATGTATTTTTCAGGAAAAAACGAAAAAAATGCTATTCTTAAGTTATTAATTTAACGCTAATTATTTATACAATGCCGCCGTAAACTTTCCAACTTTGCAATGTGACAAATCGTGAATAAATAATAAAAGTTGGAATTCACGTAAAGTATGCCATTCCTGTGCAGTACATGTACATTGCCTTGTATTTTTTGCCGTAGAATCTATCTAATATATAAAATTGTCGTGTCACAGTTTTCGTTGCCATACTCCTCCGAAACGGCTTGACCGATTTTTACCAAATTTTATATGCGTATTCAGTAGGTCTGAGAATCGGCTACTATCTATTTTTCATACCCCTAAGTGATAAGGATAAGGGTGGTCCTCCCAGACCCCACCCCAGTTCGCTAGTTCGCTAGTTTCGCTAGTTTGTTATATTTTTTTAAATTTATCGATATTTTATTAGTTTTTGATCGATTTTGGAGTTAATTTTATTGATTTTTCTGAAAAAAAATGATTTTAAAGTATTTACAGAAATAAATGAAATTCATTCATGGTTTAATCTTGTTTATTCATTACTTAAGAATATAGTACCTGGGCGACCGAGCTTTGCTCGGAGGTTTTGGCCAAAAAAATACATTAAAAAAACAATATGAATATGAATCAATCAATCATCAAACAATATGAAAATAATCAATACAACTATGAATTTGAATAAATACAAAAAAAAACAAAATTAAAAACTTTGTGTCCGACCGGGATACGAACCCAGATACCTGTGGTTGTCAAACTTGCGCATTGGCCCTTTGACCATGATGCTTATATCTGAGCGTGCGAAATTATCGAACATAACATTTTGCGTGGAATTATTAATTATTAATTTATTGAAATAATGTAAAAGAAATCATAATAATAATAAAGCTCTATTTATTTATTCATTTATTTATTATAAAGGCTTACTAACTAAATTTACATAAAAACATTTATTTAACATTATAATTTTACCTATCTGTATATAAATTTAATTTAAAAGTATGCACAGCTTTTTATAAAAGTATTCCATTAAAATTTTATTTGGTTAAGAGTATATAAGGAGCCATTTTAGTTGTACAATAAACAAAATGTCTATATCACATTGCCAAAATATAAAATTATATAATTTAGTGACTATTTATTAACTAATAATTTTGTAATCTGGAATTAAATTATTTTAAAAATCTTCATATTATTTGAAATGATATTGTATATATATAAATTATCATAAACAAATAAATAAATAAACAATCACAATAAATTAAATAATTCAATTGAGTAAATACTAAACATTTTACAATAATAAATATAAATAAAATTTCTTTCCATACATTAATTCTGACAAGTTATAAATTAGGTATTTAATTTCATAATTAGTAAAAAGTAGTCCTGCATAGAGCTCTCCGTTGGAGATTATGCTTGTATGATTGCAAAGGGTTTCTCTCTCTCAAATTTTGTTTTCAATATATAATTTGTTTCTGATATGCCTATAAAGTTTATAATTTTATCTTTGTGTTCTTTTGATTTGTTGTAGGAAATGCTGCTTTTAATTCTAGAAGTTTTTCTGGTGAAGATATGTATACCTTTGTTCATTGTATGTCTGTTTTTCTTTAGAGGGTTATGGTCGAACTCCCCCACAGTGACCGGCCGTACTGGTGGATAAAGAGGAGGAGGTTCCTACGGTGTTTAATATACTATATCTTGCTGTGTTGCTTTTAGTTGTTCCTGGTTATCATTTGTGTGGTTGAAAGTTAATTTTGGTTTTTGTAATATAAAGTCTTTAATATTACCAGGTATGGTTTTCTTTGTATGTTGTTTATTTGTTAGTTTTTGTTTATAATTGAGGTAAGGCGTTTCTGGAGATACAGGCAGACTTCTTTTTTATTTCCGTTTAGTTTAAGACTATTTTTTCCTCTAGTTCATGATAGGATTTTTCACCTTTTGCTACTCTGCACATAACCAAGTTCTTGCGCCTAATATGTCTTTCTAAATTATTTATTGAGGTACTTTGTTCCTGGATTTTTTTCTCAAGAACTTCAATTTTTATTTCTAACTGTTTAAATTTCTCATTTAAGTATATTATTGTTGATTGTATTTTTAATGTCTTCTTTCATTTCTAACATTTCTAACATTTCTGTTTTCTGCTGTCTTATTTCTTGTTGCATGTTTATTAGCAACTTTTTTATGTCCTCCATCTTATGTGTGAAGTTGGAAGTAGAAAAGCTGATTGAAAAAAAGCACCAATTATACCTAGTTGAATTGCAATTTTATACCGAGTACCTATTAGTTTTTGAGGTTATAAACTTATGTTTTAATATTTGACGCTTTCACTTCACAAATTATTTTGTTTTATTGTCATCACACACAGAAAAGATGGTTTTGCACTGATAGTATCTTAGTCTTTCTTAGTCTAAGTTATGTTTGTCACTTTTGTATTTGTTTGGTAGGTGAATTTTTAAAAGCTGATTTGTTCTTCAACACATCAAGACTTGGTGATGTTTACATATTGCCCATAGGTTTTATTTACAAATTTACTTAGATTAGATTTAATTTTTCTTTAGATTATTTTCACTTAAATATATTTAAACTTGATGTAAATACGGACACGATGTTGACAGTTGCACAGTGGCGCCGCCCACTCACCAGAAGTGACAATGCAAAAATTGTGAAAATGCAAAAGAAAATCGCATGAAAATTCGAAAGTTCGCGTTTTTCTAGATATAAGACTAATCTAGGTCGATTTATCGCCCCCGAAACCCCCTATATGCTAAATTTCATGAAAATCGTTGGAGCCGTTTCCGAGATTCAGATTATATATTGATATATATATATATATATATATATATATATATATATACAAGAATAGCTCGTTTAAATATATAAGATTTAAAAAAATTAAGTTGATATTTACAAAGTTTAGTCAGTTTAGTTTTATAAAAAAATCATAAAAAATGTAAAAAATGAATAATTTCTGAGCCGAATCTGTAACTTAAATCTTTTTTGGAAAATCCCGAATCTATAGATTTTATAATTTTTGCCTGTCTGTCTGTCCGTTACCGCATCACGTAAAAACCACTGGAGTGATTTCAATGAAATTTAGTATGAAGATAGCTGGTTATCCGGGTCAACATATAGGATACTTTTTACTGTGGGAAAATATCGCATCTCTGAGAAATCGATACTAAACGTTAAAACGTAAGTAAAAACGAACCCAAGCGGAGCGAGGGTGAGCCGCTAGTATACCTATTAACATTAAGTTAGGTAGCATTCATTTAAGGACTAAGGTAAATACATTTTAATAAAAAATGTAATTTACTAACGATTTACCCTACATTTCGTATATAATTTCGTAATACATTGTTTTTATATACATAATTTGCTCTACGTGGTGCACGCCATTGAAACTTCCAGTTGATATGATTTTTTTCCGACATCTTCAACAGTCATCGTTATATTTCAGCCAATTTACACAAAACCTTAATAAATTATACACATAAATAATACCCTTCCTCGTTAATAATTCCGCCTATTGATTAAAACCGTATGAAAATCCGTTTAGCAGTTTTTGAGTTTATCGCGTTCAGACATACAGAAAGCATGCGGGTGAAGTTTATTTTATAATAGTAAATACATACCAAAATATATACATTATGTAAAACGCGAATATCGTCACGTAATATAGATAGATAACGGGATCTAAATTAAATTTAAAATATATACATATAAAATGATTTTCCAATACAGTTTCGAACACGTATAAAAGCCATTCTAAGCAAATCACCAGGGAAAGTAAAAATTTGATGATTGAACAACACTTAAAAATCAATAAATTGTGGCATATTGAAAGTAGCTATAAAGCAATATGTACCTACTACGTTACGTTCGCATGATTACTGCGACGAATAGTATCGTCTCGTTAATTCAATGAGTTTAGCGATCAAATTCAAATTAACTTATTCAAACACCCACAATACGTTTAAACGATTAATCATGGCTATTGGCTTTTATCTAGACTAGCATAACCCACGACTTCGCTCGCGCTAAAACTATAAAGAAAAACTCTAAAAGGGTCATACAAACTTTCATCCACCTTTTTCCCCCCTGTGGGATGAATTTCTAAAAATGCTAAACACTGGAGTAAGATAATCTCCCGCGATAAAAAGTAGTCTATGTCACTCTCCAGCCCTCCAACTATCTCCATACAAAAAATCACACAAACACAACCTGTCACTCTGTTTCGACGTGAAAGAAGGACAAACAAACAGACTTTCACATTTATAATATTAGTAAGTAAGTATATTAGTATGGATATGGAAGTATGGATTATCCATATGTACTATGTATATATTATATGAATAAACTGCACAAAATTGATGTATATATATAATATATTAGACATAATAAGTGAAACAATAATGTTAATCGCTTTTTAGATGTCAAGGTATTCAAAATTGGATCTATCAGACGCACGCTGTCCAGTGAAGAATGTCATTTAGTCCATGTTATACAAAATAGTATAAGCTATACTATTTATATATATAGATAAAGTGTATAGATTACCTGTCTATGGTAATTTGTAGCAAGAAGATTATTTTTATAATAAGAGGATATGCTAGCGAAATTTTGTATGATGTTTATCTTTTAAGAATATGGGTACCTACCCAAAATAAAAAAATAGGTCAAGTGCGAGTCGAATTCGCATACGAAGGGTTCCGTAGTACATGTACTTTTTCTTAATATGTATGTATGATGTATGATGATCGATTACGAACGTAAAAAAACTTTTCTAGTATTTTTATTTCTTTTTTTTATTATTTATTCTTATAGCGGCAATAGAAATACATACTATGTGAAAATTTCAACTCTATCAACTTTTATCTTACGGTTCACGAGATACAGCCCTATGACAGATAGACGGACAGCGGAGGCTTAATAATAAGGTTCCGTTGGTATCCTTCAGGTACAGAAACCTAAAAAGTCAATTTAAACCTCAGAAAAATTACAATCATATGAAATAAATATAATCATTGTTTAATTATTTAATGTCTTCAAAATGAAACTATACTTTGATGTTTTCCTGAAAATATACACAACTAACAAAAATAAGAAATATTTAGACCTTATGTCTAAACATGTCTATGGTTCTCATACCTGATTAGGTGAACTATCTCTCCGAGGGCGACCCTGCAATGGAGCAACCGCTGCATCAGCACAAACATCATCAGTGCTCGCATCACGGCCCATACTACAGACAGGAACACTTTCACATTCCTCCTCACCACTCCCTTCACCCATGTCATCACCCACTGTCAAAACTTCAATCTGATTGCCTAATTCTGAAAATATTTATACTGTTAATTTTCATAATACTTTCCTACATTTATGCGAATATTAAACATTTTAAATAAAAACTATGTTTTCAGATTTTTTCGTGGATTTATTAACACCTACACCTTAACAGCACCTACTCACAAAATTACAAAATAATTTCAATAAATACAAAAATGCCACCAAAGTACCTAATAACATTTGTTAATTTTAAATATTCATTATGATTTTAATAAGTTTTAACTAAAAATCTAAATAAACCCTCGAAAAAATCCAAAAAGATAGTTTTATTTCACACCTTCCAATTAAACCTTTAAATTAATTTTTATTGTTACAATAAAAGCTTCGATTGTAAGCAGTGTTGGAAAAAATCAGAATCTAGAAATTTTGTGCATTTAAAATTTATGGTGTGTATTTAGATGAGAAACTACACAACAATCTGAAATATAATTACAATAAGATTTATAGAAATTATATTTACATTTAAAATAGTTTTTTTATTAATTTTTAAGTAATTCTTACATTGCTTTATAATTTTGTTGGCCCTACAAGGGTTATAGGCCCATATATTAGGGCCCGGGCAACCTATAACATTGACTGTTTGTATAAATATGTTGGGACATTAACACACAGCACCATCTAGTTCCATGGTAAGCTACAAGGCCTGTGTTATGGATACCAGCTAGTTGATACACTACAATCAATCAATCAGCCTATCGCCGTCCACTGCTGAACAAAGGCCTCCCCAAAAAAGCGCCAACCATCCCGGTCTTGGGCAGCCTGCATCCATCCACTGCCAGCCACCTTTCTTAGATCATCTGTCCATCGTGCTGCAGGGCGTCCTACACTACGCTGGCCTAAACGTGGTCTCCACTCTAGCACGCTTCGGCTCCATCGGCCATCCGTACGTCTGGAGACATGACCAGCCCACTTCCACTTCAGCGAGCTTATTCTGTGCGCGATGTCGGTTACTTTAGTTCTCTGGCGAATGACTTCATTTCGAATTCTGTCTGCCAGAGAAACTCCAAGCATCGCGCGTTCCATTGCTCGCTGAGCGACTTTGAATTTGTGGACCAGCTCTGCGGTGAGTGTCCACGTTTCGGCTCCGTATGTCATTACGGGTAGGACGCACTGGTTAAATACCCTGGTCTTAAGGGATTGTGGGATAGATGACTCTAGAATATGACGAAGCTTCCCAAAAGCCGCCCAGCCCAAGCGTATTCTTCTGTTGGCCTCCTTCTCAAAGTTGTGCCGGCCGAGTTGTATAGTACTATACACTACACATATATATATCTTTAAATACATACATTTTATATATAAATATAAGCACCCATGACTAGAGTACAAACATTCGTGCTCATCACACAAATGAATACCCCCAGTGGGACTCGAACCCGCGACCACCGGCACAGCAAGTAGGGTCACTATAAACTGAGCCAAATGTGTCGTCGTGTTGTATAGAAAGTTTAATTATACTAGGTCTAAATATCTATTGTATAAGATTGTTAAAAATAAAGGATAGTATAAATCTCACAAAGGTGAACAAGACACTTATTATTCATAACAATGTAGTCAATGGCAACATACAAAGCTTACAGTAAAATTTCAACAACTAAGTGTAACAGTCTAATATAGATGACTCACATTAGAAATAGGTACTTCAAGTTAGTCATTTAGTTGTGGTCAACTGGATTTCATTGAACCATTCATATATTGATTACTCTTATTCATAATATATGCAAGTGCACAATATCTATTTTATATGGGGCTAAATAATAAAGTTAGATATTTTAAAATAAAATAAAAAATGTAATCTTTACAGATAAATAAAATTGAAATGTCTGTTTGTAATGTCAAAATAACAGTGTTTTCCTAAATGCATATGAAATTATGTACCGTACTTATAAGAAATACACAATTTTTGAAATTTTTGTCCGTCTAATCTCTGAAATGGCTGGACTGATTTTGTCGGGACTTACTGGACTACAGACTATCACTGGAAGATATCTGATGTTATAGGAAGTAACATAGGGTACTTTTATTTTAGAAAAAGAATTAGGATTCCGATCAAAAAAAATAAAACATATATAGGAGCGAACCCGAGCGAAGCGAGGGTAAATCGCTAGTTTATAAATAATAAAATAACAAGCAATAACACAAAAATTTTACTTACCATCATATGTAGATACTCTATTTGTTTGTAGAGGAATAACTTGGTCAGGGTTCACAGGCGACATAAGAAATTGCATCGGACCATCATAGCCTGTTATAAGAAAATAAAAAAAAAACGCATAACAAACAAAATAAGGTGAATGTACATGCTAAATGAAATAAATACTAGCACAATGCAAAAGTCTTATGCTTTTATATCTTACCATGAAGTTCACGGGAACGGCTTCCAGAAATGGGACGTTTAGCAGAACCCACTCTCAAATCGTTAGCTTGAACCATACCCGAATTCTGCCGTTTTTGCTTCATTTTTTGTTCCAATAACTGGCGCTAAAATTTCAATAGAAATTCGGACCATTATATTTATTTCTCATATTTATTAACTTTTACTATTTAATCACATCGAATAATATAAATTAACAATAAAATAAAATATATATGGTAACCACTTACTTGCTGTTCGATCTTTTGATCCCGAACATTTATTGAGGCCATGTTTAGTTATTTATTTTCTATATAAAATTCAATTATTATGCAGTATATAATATTAATAAATTAGAAAGTTTTATTTCAAAATTCGGTACAATTAATTGTAATTTCTAAGCTCATTTTTTGTTTATAAATCATCTTGCCTACCGTTGCCCAGATAACTAAATGTTGCTATTAAATTAAACTCATATTAGCAATTAGCATATTTTTATTGCCCACTTTAAAATATAATAATATTATATTATACATTTTCATTTAAAATATAAATATGTAATATGTCACAAAAATATTTAATAACTGTAATAAATACGTTTTAGTAAGGTTTTAATACATCATAATTCTTAACAAATATTATGACATTTATAACGCTTGTTTTTGGTTCATTTCTGTTAAAGCATTTCTTAATCTTTGTTTGTGGTCGACACCAAAGAGAATGTAACCACTTTTTTTGTCATCCGTGGTAACCACTAGGGATGGAACATTTCACGAGTAGCAAGTGAAAAATCACGTGAAATGCGTAATCATACGTCACACCTGCTACTTAAATTCATAGTGGCTGCTACAAATCACAACTTGGTGAAATCTAGAGCTGTAGCAAACCGTATGTATTCGTTACTGAGTAACGGGTACGCCATCTAGTACCGAGTACCGAAACGTTACTCACGAATGCATTTCGTTACTCGCATTTTCCGTATACGTAATAATTTTAAATTAGAAACAACAATTAAATTTAGAGCACATTTTTAGTTTTTTATCCAACAAATACTTATAATTTTTACTGAAGGATTATGTGTAATACGTACAGACATAACCACCAACGCTGAGAACGAGCTAGAAATGTTTATTAATGAACCAGTGCTTCCGCGCGATTCTTCGCCATTAGTTTGGTGGAAATCTCACTCCTATATGTACCCCAATTTGGCGGAAATATTTCATGAGCACTGTCATATCGTGGTGACATCAGTGGAGTGTGAGAGAGTATTTTCAAAAGCGGGAAATTTTGCAACCCAAAAAAGAGCACGATTAAGCAGAAAACGAACAGCGGAACTTGTATTTTTAAAAAGCAATGAAGACTATTGTATATAGATATCTCATAAAAAAATCCATAATCAAAAAAATCAAAAAGCAAAAAAAATGATTATAAACAAATTAAAAAAATTAAGAAAAACAAAAAAAAAAGTGTATAAAATTCTTTTATAAAAATTCTTATTGTACATAAAAACAATGAACTTTTTAATACGCCAATGTAATTATGGAACTTAGCTTAATACAATTTTACCGTGTAATTACTCTGATATATTTAAAATTCATTTAATTTTACATTGTCAGTCCCAAGCCTGTAGAAGTATGAGGGAAAGTTCATTGTTTGAAAATAGGTTCATTCAAAGCACCATGTACGTATGCAACTACGTCAGATCTATATCTCTGCTCCATATCACATCAGTAGCGCCATTGGTGACATTTCATACTTCATTTTAATAGCAAATAATATAAAGTGTGACACCAGACCGTCGAAATCAAAAATCTATGCGTGAAAAGTAGCAGGTGAAATCACGTGAAAAATTGTTGTAATTTCATCACGTGATAATGATTTAAAAGTAGCAATCATTTCCATGCTTAGTAACCACTATCTTTTAGCGACAATATGGGGAAGAATTTTGCCTTTTTCTGCCGCCAGATATCGCAATCACTATAGCCTTAAGTACATTGTAAAGCTCTATAGCGTGATTGTTTTTTTTTTTCATTTTATTTAAAATTGATTTAAAATGACAAATTGAGCAGTGCCAGGATATCATTTGTCTCCAAAAAACAAAAACTGAAAATATTGTAAGCTAAAGCAATTTTGAAAATTTTGCTAAAGCAAAACCAAAATTGGCGAAATCACAATCTTTATATTTAAGGCTATGTGGAGATCATTTTAAAGAAAGAGATTTTAATACTCTTAAATGGTCTACAGGTGAATATTTTCTTTTTATTTTGTGTACTTTTTTACAAATTAATTAGTTTCATACAAACTTTCATCGCCCATTTTACCCCCATAGGATTGAATTTCATAGTACATCTAGCAGTGTATACACAGATGTACAGTAGCTTTCTCAATGGAGTATCAGTAGGCATACATGAAAAATGATAGGCTGGGTAGGTAATAGGTATCTCATCTTCTCACAGATTTTAGTCAGACTGATGTAGATTAAAAAGAAAAACAAAAAAAAACTTAAGGATATTACTACCTTATACATTTATTAAAATTTTATAGTTAAATGTAAGGTTTCGTCAGTATAAATAAATGAAATAATACATTTCATATGTTTATTTTTTAAGTTGCCTTTTATTTTTTAAGTAATTTAATCAGTGTATAATATTCCATATAAATTAAAATAATAGTGCATGTAAACCCTAAAACATTGATATACAAAAACCTAAAACTTATATATATTTGCTTTTTATAATATTTTACTGATTTGAGTTGTATAACTACTTTTAGTAGTTATATAAATCAAATCTAGTATACTTAGCACTAAAATAAACTAAAAGGTTTTAGGAATAATATTATCAGGTAAAATTTAATGATTATAAATTATATATATAAAATAACTAAATAGGTATATTTAATATACCAACATAAAAACTACAAATCCCATAAATTAAAAATCAGTGTCCTTTATGCCTTTTCCCTGTAATGTGGCGTTCAAGGTTGTCCACATTGCAAGCTACTACTGTGTTACATTTAAGGCAAGTTGCTGAATGTTCATTTGCATGGGTCAAATACTTGTCAATTATTATATTATGACCTTCTATCAATCTTAATATCTTTGTTAGCCTTGTTTTGTGTTCCTTATTATCATCAACATGTTCAAAAATTGTTTCAATATAGTTTTCAAAATAAATTTGACAAATTTTACACCACAAATAATCATCATTTTCTTCGATAGAAAAAATACCATTAAATGGTTGAACAGCCATTGAACGAGCCCGTTTGTGTTTTAAGGAGTGCACATGATCCTTTACAGCTTCCAAAGTGAACATCATAAAGTTATGACATATTGTGCAATATACTTGAGATCCATTTATGTTTAGATTTTGGGGTAATTCAAGAAATAATCTATCTTTCTCAATCACTTCGTTAATTTCATTCATAAGACTCTGATGTTGTGAACTTTGTATATGAACAATCAAATCAACTAAATCCACCTTACAAATTAGGCAATGCGCTCTATTAACTTCTACGTTGATATTATTTTGTATAATTATTCTGGAAGTATATAAGCTGACATGTTTTTCGCTATCTAAATGTGATTCAATCATGTCATCGTTGGTGATATATATTTCGCAAAGCTCGCATAAAGTTCTGCCATCTTCAGTGACGATTACGTCCTCGTAATATGGCATTATTTTAATATTTCTTTATTAAATAAATATATATTTTTTAATAAAGTTACGTTTAAGTCACTACTCACAAAACAAATACTTTAAGTAAAACACCGTTCATAACAATACTTTAATCAGTAAGCACTATAATACGCACAGTAGGTATTTAAAATCATTACTTATCTTTATTATGTGATCATTTATTCAATTTAATATTTTCTAGCTCTTATGTACTTGTTTTGTTTATACTTTATTGCACAGATTATGAAAACGTTCAATGTTCAATGATAAATCAAATCATAATTCAAATTTTAGAATTTTAGTTGACTTATTGAATTTGAAATAACATAAACAGATAAATGCAGGGGATCAGGGATCTCCCCAATGGAAAAGAATTGTTGCCATTTTAATTATCTTCAAAAAATATAAAAAATATGTACCTATTATATTGTCGTTGACTTGGATTTTTTTTATCGTCCTTTAAATTTAATCGATTCAATTTGTTCTTTATTTTTAGAACTTATATATTTTAATCTCTCTTTTAAACCTAAAGGAAAGCACAATAATTTTGCCATTAGATATATTTATAATTTGACATTGACATTTCCTCAGGAATCTCTGAGAAAAATGTTATTGTTTGTTCCTAAAATATATACGATACTAATAAATAATCAATAAAATACCAATGAATATCACTATGTCGGCTGAAACAGAAGACCACGTAGAATTATTAGAAAATGTTTCAGGGCTTATTGAAAATTTAAAGGTCAGTAAGCCTCCACGGTTTCTTTCATTTATAATTTAGAGGTAATAAAAATCAGTCTCTAGCATTGTCATAATAATATATATATGCTTATTTTTTTTTATATAGGAGGAACTACGAGAATTGTATGTGTACAGGGATTTATTCTTTGAAAACCATCCATTAGAAAAAGCCTCTGAGAAGAACAAATGTGTTGAAAAAAAGAAAGAAGAATTAGTTGAAAAGTTTGAGAGCATTGATGGTCTGTCTTTTTAATTTATTTATTAAACAAGTTCTATTATCTAATTTCTTACACTTTTAAATAAATATTTTTATTGCCTTTAATGTTCCTTGTAAGAAAGTTATTAGTGACTTGGTATCCATGAATTAATCTACTTATTAAATTATCAAATGTATGTATGTAATGTAATATTTAATTTTGACGACACGTTTGGCTCAGTTTGTAGTGACCCTACTTGCAGTGCCAGCGGTCGCGGGTTCGAGTCCCGCTGGGCGCATTCATTTGTGTGATGAGCACGAATGTTTGTACCCCAATCATGGGTGTTTATATTTATAATATTCATGTATTTAAAAATTCTATATGTGTAGTGTATCAACTATCTGGTATCCATAACACAAGCCGCGTAACTTACTATGGAACTAGATGGCGCTGTGTGTTAATGTCCTAACATATTTATTTATATTTAATGTAATACTACATGATTTGAATTAAACAAATATTTTTTATTACAGTTGATTCACAAATACCATTTTCATTGAGAGCACAATTTCTATATATGAAAGGTAAATGTTACAATGTCAGCCGTACATATGACTCTCGGGCAACACAATGTTTAAGCAAGGCAGTAAAATTAAACCCACATCTGGTAGCAGCTTGGAATGAATTAGGTGAATGTTATTTAAAGAATCTTAATGTAAAAGAAGCGAAGGCTAGTTTTGAAGGTGCACTTAAACATGTGAGTATTACAAATAAAAAATTAGTATGTATTTATATGTAAGTATATATGTTTGTATGTATGTATGTATGTATATATATATGTATGTGAATATATATATATATATATATATATTTGTATAATCATAATATTTAGTTAATATATGTATTTTAATATTAAGACAATTCCATTCAATGCTGTACTGTACCTACTCTGCACTATTTTAACTTATTTTCTCACTTCTGAAGGGTTTCTGGAAGAAATCTCTTAAAGAGATAAGTTATCCTTTGTCAACATTTTGTTATTTTATTTTGTATAACGTATATTTTATGGTACATAAATAAATAAATAAAAATAAAAAATAAAATTTATGTTTACATATGTAAAACATGTACTTGAAAAATGATGCAATATTGAAAGCCATGACATAGAAAATGTGTATAATTTATAAAAAGAAAAATGATTAAAAGAATTTTATTGCATAAGATGATTATTAATTATTATTTGAAATACCAAAAATTATTGAAAAATATGTTTAAACTAATCTTCTCAGGAACGTAATAGACTTTCCCTAAGATGCCTTTCTATAATCTTGCGACACGAGATTGGTAATCAAAAACGAAGTGAATCAAATGCCACAATATTGAAAAGTGTAGACTTAGCGAAAGAAGCAGTGGCTCAAGATATTAAAGATGGCATATCTTGGACTGTATTAGGAAATGCATATTTGTGCCAATTTTTTATGGTGGCTCAAGACCCGGCTACTTTAAAATTATGTATGAGTGCATATAAGCAAGCTTGGTTAGACCCTGTTGCTAAGGGACAACCTGATTTATACTACAACAAAGGAGTTGTAAGTATTTTTTTCATGTTTTTTTAAGGTTTGATTTTAGAATTATAGAAATTATTTTAATACTAGTGACTCACCATCTTACCGTCTTAGGTATTATGAATTGTCATTATTAGGTATGATGAGTTGTCGTGGGTCGTATTATAATGTGTTTTCTCATAGTTAAGAGATAATCTCTCATAGTAAAAAAGTAGACTGTGTCACTCTTCAGCCCTTCAACTGTCTCCACACAAAAAAAACACGCCAATCCATCACTCTGTTTCGACGTTAAAGAAGAACAAACTAATAAACAAACACAATGTGAAACATAATATTAGTATGGATATGGGTGATAAAAAAATATGACAGGAAAGTCGAAAGATCTTTATCATGATATATTCAATTAATCTGTTAATATCAAAATAATGGTGGTTTTGTGTAAGTCTACAAAGTAACTATTGATTTTTTATGATGTTACTCTATGCATTTTGTATGCACGTTGCTAAATCAATATTATGGCGGAGTGAAGCACAAATGAATTAGATATGAATCTTATGTTCTAAATACCTACACACATACTATGTCAGAATTATTTTAAAGCCTTCTTAAAGTGTGTAGAATACAAACTGTAATACTCTTGTTTTAATTAATAGTCACTAATTTTGTGAGCTTGAATGTTAAAATTTACTAAGAATTGTTTCACTAATAGGAAGTTACATTGCCGTCGAGCTTTATTTCGATAAAAATGTGTTTGCTACCAGAAATCATACTAACTTTGATTGAAATCGGAAGGAACTGGCCATTATGTTGTTTTATCACCGTGCTCTAAACTGGCAAAAAGATACTTAAGGACGCAAGGGCGAAGCGAGGGTGATCAATGAAACTAAAAGTTTTACTATTATAGCTTTATTATTAACTAGCGACTCACCCTCGCTTCGCTCGGGTTCGTCCCTGGCTTGCTTCCCAATACGAACTTTCATTCTCATTTTTACCCCCTTGAGGGATAAATGTCCGGGATAAAAAGTATCCTATGTCCTTCCCAGGTCTCAAACTACGAGTATCTTCTTACCAAAATTCATCTAAATCGGTTCAGTAGATCCAGAGATTACCCTCTACAACCTCACAAACTTACAAACTTTACCTCTATAATTATACCACTATACATATTTTGAATTTGAATAATATTAGTGTAGACTAGCGATTTACCCTTGCTTTGCTCGTGTACGTTTCTACGTTCTAGGTACGTTTTAAATGGATAAATAAAATATTGCCAGTGTACCTTAAGAAATGATATAGACAATATGCTATTGCGATGCGATGCGAACTTTTCCGATACATTTTTAAGACCTACCTACAATTTTTTAGTACATTGTTTTGATGTAGGTTCATAAGGCTTAGCCAGCGTTAGCCATGTAAATTTCTAAGGACGATACGACCGAACCGGTTATTGTGTTTTCCCATACCTACATATATAGTATCTGTGACGAAGCAAAACCTTATCTAAATACAAAATTTGTTCGAAATCGTTAGAGCTGTTTCCGAAATACATGAAATAAATTTTTATATATACAATATATAATACAATATATATTAAATGTATTCAAGAATTGCTCATTTTAATATTATAAGATATAAACCCCAACCGAATATTAACAGGCATTAAAATACGAAGAGTGTTATTCGGAGGCACTAGAAATGTTTGAGCACGCGTGTCGTCTAGACCCTGCTTGGGCGCCACCTAAAACGGAGCTAGCGGATCTCACGCACTACTTGACTGAAGCGACGCGGTTAGTGAGGACACGAGGGAAGCTGAAGGCTAAGCGATTGAATAATATGATACAGGCCAGTGGAATTATATTGTTTTTTATTTTTTTACTAGTGCTTCTGCGGACGGTAGACCTCACGAACGCGAGTTTAGTTAGTTTAGAATTAATATACCACTAAAGTTATGTGAGCAATTTACTGTATTTTAGGAGCTATTCTGCTCATCATGCCGAAGATCCTCATCATATCTTCACCTTTGTATTAGACCAACTTATAGTTACTACCATTCAAATAAAAAAAAGAACCATCGAAATCGGATCTCATAAGGAGATATTACTGTATTGCACCCTTTTTAGAGGAAGATTGGCGGGGGCCAATCAAAAATCCCCGATGACCAAAAAAATTCTATAAAATCGTAAAACCTGTTACCAAATTCGTCCCAATCGATTATATAATACGATCTGTAGAGTACGATCAACAAATTGACAGAGGAAAGCAAATTTTGCCAGACTCGAAGCAGAGAGGCTTTGCTCCCTCGGTCAGCTAGCAACTTTCCCTCAATTTACTCAGATTCTCCTTAGGTGATAAACAAGCCTAGCCTATTTTTTAATAAAGCCCAGAGATGGATCTATACATAGTCTTTTTAGGCTGCAGCCCAGGGACCCTAAAATATAACGGGCTCCTCGTTGAAATAAATGGATAATATTGTGAATTTATAAAATTAAAAATTGTATTCAGCCCTTTTTAAAATCCCACTGCTGGGCACGGGCCTCCCTTAAATACGAATGGGATCAGACCATAGTCTACCACGGTGGCCAGTTGCGGGTTGGCGGACTGCACATGAATTTTGAAAACTTGTTAAGTTCTCTCAGACATGCAGGTTTCCTCATGATGTTTTCCTTCATTCACCGTAAGGCAAGTAGTAATCATGTTAGAAATGATTCGCACATAAAAAAAGAGGCGCGAGACCCGGGATTTGAACCCGCTTCACTCGGTTTCTCAAGCGAGCGCTTTATCACTGGGCTACTACTGCCTTTTTTAAAATTAATGTAATTTTATTAGAACAATTTGTTGATTAACTTTATATTTTACTTATTATATAAAATTTTATTTATATTTTACAGTCCATAGACACGAAAATGCTAGGAGAGTACGGACCGGGTATATTCCATACATTTGGTGGGCGTAAGGACGTGCTTCTAGAACATACGACGATAAACATGCTGGAGGAGGGCACGAACGAGGGGAAGGTCATCCTAGGCAGAGTCGTAGGTTCGATTCACAATGAGAATGCTGTGCCCTTGTGAGTATTGTTTTATTTTTATTTTTCAATGGACTAGATACTAGACAACGAAGAAAAATTACATCATATCTGTCCATCTGATTGTCTGTTCATATGTGAATCATTACTCAGACTATTGGACTTTAATACTTTTGAGTTAGTATTGTCGTAGAAAATGTTTATTCCTCAAATATCCTGTATTTGTGTGTTTGTATTACATAGAACTTAGAGCGTTGAAGTTACATAACCGCTATGTTAGTCTGTTTGCTGTCTCAGTATCTCCATTTTTTTTGGGACATTAACGCACAACACCATCTAGTTCCATGGTAAGCTACGAGGCTTGTATTATGGATACTAGATAGTTGATATACTACACATATATATAACTTTAAATACATAGATATTATAAATATAAACACGATCATACATAGATATTATCAGTATAAAGCGGTTGCGGGTTCGAGTCCCGCTGGGGGCATTCATTTGTGTGGTGAGCACGAATGTTTGTACTTCAGTCATGGGTGTTTATATTTATAACTAGCGACTCACCCTCGCTTCGCTCGGGTTCGTCCCTAGCTCGCTTTCCGATATAAATTATCATCCCTATTTTCACCTCCTTAGGAATGATTACGGGAATAAAAAGTATCCTATGTCCTTCCTAGGGTCTCAAACTATCTTCTTACCAAATTTCATCTAAATCGGTTCAATAGATTCAAAGTTTAACCACTACAACATCACAAACTTTACCTCTTTATAATATTAGTATAGATTTATCTCCCAAGCGATCTCATAATGTGTGACGAGTGTGTGTGTGTGTGTGCGCAGCACGTTCGCGCTGACGGACGCGAGCGCGCGCTGCGTGTGCGTGACGGTGTACAACTGGGCGGGCGGGCGCGGCGTCATCGTGGGCGACGCCGTGGCCGTGCCCGAGCCCGTGCTGCGCGCGCGCGCCGCCGCACGCGACACTGTGGTGAGTTAGTTATATGTATACTGTGTTCGCCGAGTGAACCGAGCACTGACATTTTGCGCTTTCACGTGATTGGTTGTAGATAAGACGCTCAGGCCGCGATTACAATGTAAGTCATTGCATTCCGTACCGTACTCACGTCTCTCGTGTAGTTACCTGATTTATTATCAATGTAAGAGGCAGTGATACGTCGACAAGCGAAAATTAATAAATAAAGTACAAATATTTAAAGATACAGTAAATTTTACTTTATATATTGATTTTATTTGTATGTTAATTTTATTTTATTAGAAATTATTAATAATTCCTCACTAAAGCATTAGCAACATGAACGAGCCCTATGATTTCAAACCAGTTGCAAGCGTTAGTGGGCGAAGGGCGAAGCTAGACAATTTTCTGTCCTTATCAGTTTGTATGCTAATGTGGGACAGAGAAAGCGTTTTGCATGGTTCACTCCGTGAATAGAGTATAGTCAGAAAAACGCCTTTCTATTGTCATCGTTCGTGCGATGATGTGATGCGATTTCATCGTGCGTTGAAATCGCTCGCGCGATAAGAAATCGTCCTGTTTTGGAGTGGTGTGATCATACTCGAAATGATGGAATATTATTTCAAAAATATTATTTCGAAAAGAATGATCGCGCGATCTCTATAGGGCATTCATTAGATAACAGTATGTTTAAACACACGGTCGTGCGATTATTTTCGTCGGACGCACGTATCATCGCGCGAGCGATGGCAATACTTATACGGCACCTTAGAGTTTGTGTGTGTGTGTGTGTCTGTGTATGTGTATAAATGAGTGCCTTCTGTTATTTTGAGGACACTTGTGAGACGCTAATCGCTTATCATGAGTTTTTGTATATCAATGGATATGATTAAACGAATTATAATAAAAAGGACATATTTTCATTAAATTCCAGCAATTCGATTTCAAATCGATTCGAGTAAACAACCCGCTGGTATTGCTAGTGAACGGTAAACGCGTGTCGCGCGGCCAGTTCGCGAGCACGCGCGTGTCCAGCACGTACGAGGTGCACTGACGGCGCGCCACGCGCTACGTGCGTTGCTAAGACTGTCTGCTTGTTTGTGTAACTGCGTGTGGGATTGGTTGTTTTGGCTACCGATGATTCGAGAACTTCAGTGACCATGTGACATTTTTAAAAAAAATCATTAAATACTGTTCAATTTAAAATGTTTTATTTCAGCATTTTATTAGAGTTTTGCTACTATACATAAGAACTGACGAATAGGACTCAAAATCATGGTCGATTTCAATAGTATTCTTTGTATAAAAGTGGCTACTTAATTCAAGTGATTTTTTAATTTTTTGTTTATTTTATGCCATATCCAAGTGTGAAATGATTTTAATGATTTTTTTTTTAATTATGCAGTGTTACTTGTAAATTTAGATAAGAAATTACACCAGTTTTTTAGACTTTAGGTAGTGCTTTGCGTGGTGGATAATTTTTTTAAACTTTTTTTAATTTCTTTAAATGTATTTTTTTGCAAAAGAAAGGTTGAATAACTCTGTATAATAAAAATGGCCTAGAGTATGATAGAATATAAATAAGTATTACATACATAAAAAAGTAAATTATTCTAATTAAATTAATGTGCTTATAAATAAATAATTTAGTTAGATGTATATGCGTATACTAATGTATATATATTATGGAAGAATCGCATTGTAAAGAGTTTTATCCAGGATTTTTTTTTATTTTTCATATAAAATTCTTATTTTTTTCCTTTATCATTCAAAGTTTTACATATTTTTCTTAAATAAATGAGTTTTATTAAAAATAACATTAAAAATAACTGAGTTTTATGTAATTTACATTATTCGGTAATAATTATATTACGTAGTAGAATACTCTACACACACACATAATAATGATAGGAGTATGTATTATAAGTATAGAAACATTTTTTTGTAATTTGACTTAATGTTGGCATTAGCGATATTGTTAATTAAGTCAGGGGTAAACGAATATATATGTATATATGTATGTTTGATATCATGACTCGTAAACCTTTTTTATGAACGATCAAAATTTGGAATTAAATTAATGTATTTAGATGATATTTCTGCAGTGTATGAAGCTTAAATTGTATTATTACTATTATTTATTGACTATATCACATATTGGAGATTATATTGTATATCATAAATGTCTTTTTAGTTTTTGAAGTTATACTTCTTTGGCACTTTTGAAAAAAAATATGAGAGTAAAATTTTTACGATGCGACACCGAAAAACAAAAAGCGACATGATGAAGTTAGCTGAAAGGGGCATGTTGAAGTTAGCTGCATTCCTTTTACAAACAGAGAGTTGTGACATAAGGGATGAAATCTCCAGCCATTTTTGTTCTGTTAAGTACTCCAGTGTCCAAAGAAGTATAACTTCTTACGTGCGTACATAAGTACACACATACTTTATTTTCATTATCATTATTCAAAATAAAATATGGTTGATAGTTATTACTAATCAAATACATATTTAGTTATAGGCACTATTTTAGTATAAAATAAAAACTAGGAGGCTTCTAAGGACTTACTGAAAAAGTGTGATTGAATATTTTATAATAATGTATGTATATATTCTCATAAATTATAGAAACTACTCTTGGAAAATTTCATATATATTTATATATAATAAATGTATATATATTAAATGTGTCAATTTTAAAGTGATCATGTAAAGTAGCTTATGATAATCCTTTACTTTCAAAGTGTTTTCTATGATCATTGGTGTAAGCGAATGTTTTGAACAAATATTACCCAGATTGGTCAATGAAAATGTCTACTTACACTATTTTGTAAGATTTTTTCTGTAAATCGACACGTGGATCCGCAATGATATTTCAAACTAGCGAATATACGTTCGCTTAGCTCGGGTGCGTCCCTCCCTAGTTAGGATTTGGTTCACAAGTTCATGGGTTTTAATTTTTTGCGCGGAACCCTAATTCCTAATTCTTTTTCTAAAATAAAAGTAGCCAAAATTACTCCTTATAACATCAGCTATCTACCCGTGAAAGTGCACACTACACACCGTCGCACACGTCTTTCTAACCTTATCTTATCACCTGTCACTGCAAATATCCAGACGCCATTTTACATTCATTTCTTAATTGGCGCGGCTTATGTAATATAGGATCGTCAATTTTTAAACTATGTTGATAGTAGAATACTCTATTATTGGTATTTAAAATTACAAATGGAATAATTAGACTATATTATATAATTATATAGGTATGATGAGTTGTTGTGGGTTGTATTATAACATGTTTTCCCGTGGGAATGAGATAACATCCCGCGGTAAAGTAGTAAATAGTCTATGTCATTCTCCAGCTATCTCCACACAAAAAATCACCCTAATCTGTCACTCTGTTTCGACGTGAAAGAAGGACAAACAAACTCACTTTGATATTTATTTGATATGTATGAATATATGTAGGTATAGTATGTATATGAGTTTGATTAAAAAATAAAATATAATGCCCATATTAAAATTATAAATTTTTAATTAGTTATATCATATTGGTATAATACATAACAATTCAAATTAGCTGTGAACCATCAAATATGTTTTATCAAACACTTTAATATCGAAAGATGCAAGGAATAACATTTTAACTAAATATTGTAGCAAATATATATTTCAATTTCTTTATTAATTCATTTCTGGATTGCAATTGTTTACAAATTTTTTATTATTATTCTTAAATGGCTTTGGTTTTTTTAAACCATTAACAATTAATTCCAAGATACAAATTCATTAAAAACAACTGTGTTTTAAAGCCCTGAAACCTCAATTAACTGGAAAATAGATTTTTAGGTTTGTAATCGCATTTTGAAAGCTCATAAAAAACATTTTTATTGATTGTTGATAATTTTTAGACATATTATGTTTTATACATAATTTTGTATTGTGACGGGGACAGGGTGTACGAGGAGAAACGTAAATATATATATATAATATATATATATATATATATATATATATATATATATATATATATATATAAAAATGGAAATGATGATCTGTATGCTAAGTGGTTTTACGTATGTAATTACTAGATATTGGTCGACTTCGTTGTGATAGAAAAAAATAACTCAGTTAACTCTCTATTTTAACTTTCAATCCGTTCCAAACGTAAAGAAGTAAGAAACAAACTCTCGCATAACTTGACATAGGTACTTATAATATGTATTGCATGTATCACATTATATAAACTTAATGTATCGAGTACATAGAGAATATAAATTTGTATGTGAATTTGCCTTATAACCGTATTATTATATACGTAGGTATATACTATACATGTTTATAGTTGGAGCTAAGCCGCGGGCTGTCATTGCTTCGGTCTTATACATGGTGTGTCTTTTTAAAAGTGTATTTTCTTACAATCTAGTACCTATCTACTAATGAGACTTTGTATTTATGTGTTTTCTAAATAATATAAATTAGATATCAATTAATACGTGAATACGTTCATATTACACTATATTTCTTGTTCATATGAAATTTTTCCTCATGGTTATTATATTCTGTTTTTTTAGTTTTTCATTAACAAAATAAAATGGGGTTAAAAATGTGTTTAATAAAGCAATTATTATTCTAATAAAATATAACATTTCATACAAGTCTTGCAATTTTTGTATGGCCAATTGGACGGTCCCTTAGATAATATGGAGACTGTATCTATGCACATATTTACAGAAAACTAAATATAATATTTTTGTGATCCTGTAAATATTGCCTTGTTTGCTTTTTTTAAATTCAATTAACCTTTTTTTTTAATTTAATTTAGCGAGACTAGTACCTTTTTAGGTAAATAGACTGATCATTCCTAGATCAGCGCCATTTTGTGTTAGCTCACACGGCGTAGACCGTCATTAGAAAAGGAAGACCGCTATTTTGTTTCAATTTTAATAAATAAATTATATTATAAATTAATGTAGTTTAATTAGCACTATTTTATAAATAATAAAAACATTTAAGAACATAATAATAATATAATTAAATTATAGTGGTCTTCATAAAGTCTCAAACGAACTTTTAGTATGACTTCACAAGGCTATTATAAATGCTTGCTTGTTTTTTCATCACTAAATAAAATTGTCTCTCAATGTCACCATATACATTTATATTTAAAAAAATATAAATGCGTATGAACAAGATGGCCTTTAAAATAAGTTACGATATTTCGATATTATCAAGCATCTGCATTTAATTATAAGTAATATTTTGTACCGGAAACAATGTACACACTGTAATGTAATAATGGGCACAGAAAAGTAAACTAAATGTTTAAAAGAGAGCGAGAGAGCAATGATGTGAACAATATTTGTCTCTTTTGAACTCTGATTAGTCTATGGATATAACGTATCTATTGAGTACAACACTAGTCGTATACCTACCATCGCAGATAAATTGTAAAAACCGAGAAATTATAATTTCACTAGTGAAATCCATAAAACTCCGGGTAACGGTCTTTACAATTTCCCTGCGAAATATACACTTTGTCTTTTTGTAAAAAGCTGTCCATTTTTAAGCATATATTAAGGTCCCTTCCTCTGCTTTACTTACGTACATTTAATATGATAATCCTAGTGCGTAAGATACTTTTAAGAAGTTTAATTTAGAAATATGATTTTTTCCTAAATGTAGAACTCATGTTTATATTATATTGTAACTACACTAAGAACAGATATAACCAAAATAAAAAAACTTTTCTCACTTACATAGTTTTATTTCAAAATACTGGTTCTTATAAGTATGAGGTTTATTATTTCATTTAAAATTTCTACGCCGCAATTTTTGGCAGGAATTGGCAGCAAAATTTCATAGTATTTGTACTTATATTATTGTTTAGAAAAATTGATTTTTGAACTTTTAGGTGTAAATGTTCATTAAAAGTTTTCTAGTGATCGTACTAAATTAAAAAAAGTAGCAGTGAAGTTAATTAAAAAGCAAGTACTTCAAGAATTTACCTAAATATTTTAAGTTCACAAATAAGGTCTTCCGCAAAAATTGACATTAAATATGTACATTTTTAAAAACTTGCTATCCTGTAGCAATTTATTTCTGATCAAACATTAGATTCTTGAAATAAAAAATCACTATTAAAATAATAAAATTACAATTATTGTGTTAAGCATTAATTTCCCACAATTTCATATCATTTTCAACGATTTCTCCATATTTATCTCTTTTATATCGATCTTTAAATAATGGCCGTAGGATTTTAAGTCCTAAGCCCAATAGTGCTCCATTGTCTAACATTTTGTTTAGTTTGAACGCTAATACTGAGTTGTAATGTAGCCGCAGTAAACTAGGTCTTGAATATAAATATTGGCTATCTCGGAGGTTGTCTCTCGCCCATTCTTCTATTGTTTTATTTCCACTCGCGATCTGAAAAAAATTTATAAAAGACTGTGAAGATTTGTATATTCCTTCACTTACTTATAAAATCCAATCATTTTTGTTGTTGATTGTTTGTCCAGTCCAGCCAGTAGATGAATCAATCGCCATTCGATAAAGGGGTATTTTCTGAGCCTAAATCCAAGTTTAAGGGGTCGCTCGTATAGTTGACAGGTTGACAGTGGCTTAATTTTTTTAAAAAGGTTGCCCGGGAAAAAGTGATAGTGTTTTCCAGTTAGGACTTTTGTATAAATTCAAAGATGACAAACTTTATTGAAATTTGCAAAAAAATGTCGGTGTCAGTTTAGTTTGTTATTTTGTTAAAACTATGTTTAGTTATGAGAAAGAGTAATTATTTGTTTTTTTGTAAAAAGTTGTAGCCTATTATTTTCACAGTTTATAATCTGTCTTTCTATCGGTGAATTCATATTAAAATAAAGATAGCCTGCACACTTCTCAATAAATTAACAATAAAATGCAAAAAAAATCAATCAAGATCAAATTGGATCCATTAGACTAAAAAGGAGCATTTTCTCTATGTACTCACCCGTATATCTCCGACTTGTTTTAAAAAGTATGAGGAGAAGTAAAACCTTAAGTTATCGGAATTCATTTTTCGCCGTTCCCGAAGACGGATGTATGACTTTAGAAGATTGTAGCCACTTCTCTTGTATTTGAAAACCTGAAATATTGTTTTAGAAAATATTTTAAATATAATATTTTAAGAATACGGTAACTTATGTTATACCCAATCTTTATTTGATAGATATCGAATATATTAAACAAGCTAACGTAGAACATTATTATGTATAATAATAGCAATATGCGGAATGTATAGGGTCTCAAAGACGCCTTTAAGGAAAAAATGTGGCCCTAATTTTGAATCTGGACTTAACATAAATAAATAAAATCAAGTTTCAAGTGAAACTTCATTAGTTATTTATAGGTATTTCAAATCTGTAATTTTGTTGTAAAACTTGTAATACTACACTCAGACAAAAATATGATTCAATGTTTAGCATCTTTTACATTTACAACTGATGGCATACCACGTGTATCTCCCTCCACTTTCTAAAATACCGTGCGCACGCATTCTGGACTACGAATATCACATAAAGAGGAGAGAATAATCTTTTATTTCTTTCTTTCTAGCTGGGTACTTACATCTATCGCATATACTCTAAAGTCTAAGAGACGAATCCGAGTTAAGCGAGACTGAGCTGTTAGTTATAAATATTTTGCACATTTGAAAAGAATATCAATTATCATATATTTTATTTTTCGGTCAGTAACAACGGTTACTATAGAAACCTAATGCAAGCAGTTACTATGGCAACCGTGGAGGTTTTCCGTGACGCGAGATTGAAGTTTTACTCTCATTTGCGCCGAGAAGTTTCACTTCAAAAATGTTTGACTGTCCACGTGATCTACTGTCTAATTGGAAAGGCTGAACCAATTTTAATGGGACTTTAAATTCATTTTAAAAACAGGATAAACACATGGTCCCCCTGGGAATCGGGATAGGAGAAAATTATGGCTAGGAGAAAAAAAGACTTAATTAATTTTACTAGTCTTACCGGCAGAGGATATAGGTAGGTCGGTCAAAAGTTACATTATCTTACACTTTATCCCAGGAAAAGTGAGCCAAGGCAAGACACGCAAGGACACGCTACATTTATTTTAAATTAAAAATAAATCACATGGGACTTCTAGTAAGCAAAACTTCCATCATATAACAGCTATTTACCTGATAAATAAAATTCCCAGTTACATACGAGTCTATATAGTGCGTCCCATAGCTCTTCATAAATCTTCTGACTGATGTCGTGTCGCTTGCGTTCAAACGATCTATTTCCCTTTGAACGTACGCTTTTACGCGAACGTCTTTAGTAGAGTCCATTTGTACTGATTTGTGAACTTTAGACAACTTAACCAAGACATAACAGCAATTGTCAGGTTTGAAGTCAAACTCTATGCCGAACGTTCTCATAATTTCGTCGTGTATCCAATCGCCTAAGAATGCTTTCCATGGTTTTTCTGTACTGAAATAACATTGGTTATGGGAAAAAGATTATTTGAATGAACATTTATATATGTACATATAATATATAATAATAAGATATGTATGAAATGTCCGTCTGTTTCTATTTCCTACGTAATAGCATTTTGGTAGACATTTAAATTTTTAAAACTTTTTTACTTATTCCTATAAAAATTTGCTATATCGATTCAGTAGCTTTAGAGATTGAAATCTCAAATCAGCCTAAATACAAACAAACAAACCGATTTCAGTCTTTTTATAACAATCTACACTATATACCTAAGAGTGAGTAGAATAGATTTGATGATTAGACTTATAAAATATCTTATGTCAACATAATCTTTTTAATATGAGTCACATGTAGAATCCCATAATTACTTTTAGGTATGGTGCCATGGATGTGTAGTTGTAAAGAAACCCACCCATAATGAATCCTATTGCGTAATCTGCACTTAGATATAAATAAAATTGAAGTATCTGTATCTGGGTTTTTAAAATAACTACCCTATATTGAATTCCTGTAGTAATTTGAACAGTCAAATTACAATTGTTCAATTTAAAGTCCCAAAGTATTGTTGTTGCAATAAAATTGTTTAACGGTATTTTGTTTGTCAATCAACTTTCTCTAGAACGGCTAAACCGATCCACATGGAACTTTCATTAGCAGATAGAGGTTTTACAAGAAAAAGAAAATGCGTTTTTATGATCTAAAGTATTTAAAGAACGTCGTAAGACCATCGATTGACCTGTATCGTAGGATAGCTAACACGTTATACGGATGAGTATAGGTCATGCACGAGTATGTAAGTTGCTAATTATGTTAAAATTGATGATTAAAATGTGCTATGAGTACATTTTTTTATACACAAATTTAAATAAAATACTTATTATTTTTAAAGTTTGAAAAATTACCCTTCTATGTTAAAATTCTGGAAGTAGGTGGTTAGTAGGTCTTCAAACGTTTCACAAAGTAGTATATTCATGTCGACCATAGCGTCCCCCGGGGACTCTTTACTGGTAACATTATCAAACACTTTGATATTCTTCTCTCTGAACGGCTCTACCATATCTGAGTCTTCATAGTCAGCCGATACTACTTGTGTCACTTGAGATAAATCGCCATAGCTTTAAATTTAAAAAAATGGCAATAAATATTAGTTAAATAATAGTTTATTGTCAACAAATGTTCATAAACAATAGTGCATACGGGTTTTAAAATAACATTGAACGTTGGACACACAGCACCATCTAGTTCCATGGTGAGCTACGAGGCTTGTGTTATGTATACTAGATAGTTGATACATTACACATATATAACTTTAAATACGTAATTATATATAAACTTTAAATACGTAATAAAAAGCGGGATTCGAATCCCTCACCGCAGGCACAGCAAGTAGGGTCACTGCAAACTGAGCCAAACCTCGGGTCGTCGTAAATTGAAATAGCTTTTATTAAACGCTAAGTACTAAATTGGAAAAAAATAGTCTATTAAAGCAATTTAATCTGATCTAACTAAACTACCAACAAACATATCGCAATAAAAATAAACGTATCTAAAATAAATACTTATGTAGAGTTCTTTATTGCATAAATTGATTGAATAATTACATAATATGTCTTGTTAACCATTTGTTTTTTTTATACTTTCTCGTGCGAGTGCAAATAATAACGTGTGGGATGGAAACTAAAGACATCAGACAATCTGAGCTCACACTCTATGTAAAATGTACATAAATGTTAAAAAAACAAACATTTTTCCATAATTATTTTTTTCAACTAAAATATTTCTTCATCTTATTAATTTTAAAGTCTGACAGCATCTGCTTTTTCATTTCGATCGTGCAGGTGATCGCAAATTTGATGGTTAATTTAAGGTGAATAATATTTTATATGAAGGATCAAAAAGTTCATATAGTTCTCCAAAAAAGAGCCCTTATAACGTATCTGTACACTTTAGTCCATTTTTAGATATTTTGCAACTCTTAGTAAGCATTATGAATACTATTTTAAATAACGTAGAAATACAAATTCACCTATACATAAATATAATAAAATTCTAACTGAGTCGAATCTGTACATTAAATATTTTTTGGAAAATCTTTTTGAAATAGTCATTATTATCGATACAGAAGTCGAATATATAGTTTTTAGATTTTTTGGCTGTCTGTCTGTTACCGCATCACGAAAAACTCACTGGAGGGATTATGATGAAATTTAGTATGATGATAGCTGGTTACCTGGGTCAACATATAGGATACTTTTTACTACGGGATAATATCCCACCTCTGAAAATCTATACTGAACGTCAAACGCAACGCAAGGGACCGAACCCGAGCGAAGCAAGGGTGAGTCGCTAGTATAATATATAAGTATACGTACATTAATATACGCTCTTTAACCTAATATCCTGTAAGATGCGAAGTAAGAAGTGAACAAGTATTGGGAATTACAACTACATTAATTTACAGTTACACAATCGCAGCTATAAATTTATAATAACAATTACGAAATTATGCAGAAACCCAAAAACACAATTATCATACTAAAAAAATATTGATAATAAATTGATCTATGAATCAAAACAAGTGAGACATCGAAATATAAAACGAAACTTACTTCGCAAATACATCAATGGCATTCCCGATTCTTAAACTATATCCTAAGTCACCTTCTTCGCTACCACAGAGTCCACAACAAACAAACACAACCAAAAACAACAAAAACATGGTGAATGCGTAATATAAAGGTATTTTCAGATTAGTCGCGATGAGCGCGTTGGCCGCGCGAATGCGGCGTCCTGACTGAGATTTTTTCACAAATTACTAATGTACTGTAAACACGAGTGTGAACTTGACCCGACAGATTAGTTATGGCTACGATACTAGGGCTCGTATGCGTATTTCATTTATAATATAAAAGACACGTTGACTTTGTCAACTACTAAAAGCTCTTAAAATTTTCAATTAGGTCTGCTTTACCAAAGCTTTTGCACGTCCGGGCTAAGCTATAGAGATTAGAAAGCTATATGACTTATAGAACTGATAGGCGCTTTTATTTGTTATTTATTTTCATATTTGGCTTGAATACTTGAATGTACTACTTACTACTTAATTCTTACTGAATATAATTTTATTAAATAATTCATTTCTCAGGCCTTTTCACGTCCCTCAGCTGGGAATGGAAATGTATGAAACCCATGTATTTTCAATGGATTATGGACACTATTTTTTTTAATACATATTTAATTATAAGTGACCACAATTCTATGTGATGGTAATAACGACCAATTAATATCCCATCAATAGATAATTTTAGATATATTATGTTTAATTGGATTGTCTATTTGTACAAGTCAATATTTTCAGTAATTTTGATGAAAAGTATTGTAAGTTATTACTTATCGTTACAGACATGGTCTTAGAATAACAGTTATGCGGTTACGAAAGAAAAAATAAATCCCAAAGAACCAGCAGGGAGAGCGTAAGAGAGGAGAAGGATAAGATTCTTCATTTAGCACATTTTGTGTTCTTTAACATTTTAATCGATCTACTATAACGATGCGATAAATGCGAAAGTTTATCTGTATGTATGTTTGTTACCTTCACGCTTAAATGGCTGGACGGATTTGGGTGGAAGATACTAGTACACTATGGACTATGACTTGAGTAATACAAAGGCTGTTAAACACCTATGGACGCACCCGAACGAAGCAAGGGTCAGTTGTGTTTTTTGTTGTGATATTAGTTTTATGATTTATATATTTCATTTAAGGTAGAGTATACTCGTATATTAACAATGACTTATTATGTAAGCACCATAGATGTCACAATTCTAACATGATTTAATCTCAACTTGCCCTATTTAATACTAAGTAAGTCGTGGACAGAATTTCAAAAATCAAGGTCTCATGCTAGTTGCGGCACGTTTACTGATAACCCCGCGAACTTTTCGAGTGAATACTCATTTATCAACTGACGGACGATTTTTAAGAACTAGTTTCAATTGGGGAATTATAAGATTTTATGGATATATCAAACTCTAAATCGTTTTCTCATTCAATCTGTTCAGCATTAAATTATTGTTACAATTTTTTACTGAACATCATAAGTCTATCGACAGATCGGAAAAAAAACCCTCAGTCCTGAGAACTGGCTAAAGAAGCTCAGCGTACTCAACCTCGCTTCGCTCGGGTTCGTCCCTAGGTTAATTCCCAATACAAACTTTTATCCCCATTTTTACCCTATTAAAAATATCCTATGTCCTTCGCAGGGTCTTAAACTATCTTCTTACCAAATTTCATCTAAATCGGTCCTGTAGTTTTTGAGTTTATTAAAAACTGTTCGTTACAAACATACAATAATACAAATCTTTTTTCTTTATGTAAACTAATACGTAGATAGGTATGTAGATATTGATAAAACGTTTCCATGAATGAAACGAACATTTTTCTTTGTAATTTTAAAAAAATAAAGCGATATGACTTTAAAATTTTCATAAATCTGTTTTGTCCAGGTTTGCTAACTTTTGAAATTGGTATTCTAATTTTGTAAAAATACAGAAATCTTTATTTCATCTGAAGCATTATATTTTCATATAGAATTGCTTCGAGAAAACTAGACAATTTTAAATGAGAGTGAATCGTGTTTTCGATAAAAAGCAGGGAACAATCAAAAAAGCTCAACAATAAATCACATCAAATATATTATTTTTGAGTCAACATGAAGACTACATTCGTAAACGAATAATATAATACGGGTTAAAGTACGAAATTGCCGATTTGTACTGAAAAATTGAAATTCGTGTTTTTTTAATTTAACATATTTATTTAATCAAAATAATTACCATTATTATCTATACATTTCTGCCATCTAATAGGAAGGTCACTTATGCCTTTGCGATAGAACTCTGGTGAACTAGATTCGACAAACTGTGTGAAAGCATTTTGTATTGCCTCCTGAGAAGAAAACTTTTTATCACGTAGAAAATTGTCCAAATTACGAAATAAATGGTAGTCCGTTGGACCAAGGTGGGCGAATACGAAAGGTGACGAATGGTTTCTAATTGCAGTTCCTGTAGAGTTAAAACGGTTTCTCGTGTTGTATGAGGTCTCGTGTTATCATGGAGCAATAATGGTGAAGATTGATTCACGAGTCGGCGCTGTTTCACTGCTAGTTTTGCTATCATTGTTCGGAATTCGGCACAGTAGACATCTGCCGTTATTGCTTGACTAGATCGAAGAAAGCTATAGTAAATAACACCATGCTGAGACCATCAAACAGTTACCATAACCTCTTTATTGGTAAGCTTTGCGTTAGGACACTGTTGGGGCGTTTGTCCTGGGGTCAGCCATTGTATTTTTCGCTTACGGTTATCGTAAAGAATCAACTTTTCATCACATGTCACAATTCGATCCCATATTCCTTCATTTCTGTATCAATTCAACAAGGAAATACAAGTTTCACCATGCGTTTCTTTCTGCAGATCAGTCGAATCATGAGGCACGTATTTTCCATTTTTTTTATTTTATCGATTTGACGCAAATGAGTCAATATTGTTGGTAAGGTAACGTTAAACCATGCCGCTAATTCCTGGGTAGTTTGGCTCGGATCGGCTTCCACCATCTCTTTCAATTCATTGTGATTCACCTGTGTGAGCGGTCTTCCACGTGGTTCGTTCTTCAAATCAAAGTTTCCATCACGAAAACTCGATTTTTCGAAGTATCCATCTTTCTTGTCTAAGCTGAATACAAAAAAACAACTGAAAGTCGATAATCGAATGTTGCACATTTTTTAAAAGAAGAACTACATAGGTACCATGTGAAAAAAGTTTCACTCAAAAATCTCAAACCATGAAGGTTCTATGTCAATTCGAAGTACATATTACAATAAAACGGCAATTTCATACTTTAACCTCTGTTACTAAATAAAGTAGGTACCTAGTTAAATATATATATTCCAATAACAAATAAAAATAATTAATAAAATAGGAATATACATATGTGAAAATGCATTAGTTTCATGTCTTATGTAAGTACATATATACTTACATAATACATACGTACGTCGAGTTGTTAGAATCCCGTTAACGTAACATCATAATATCTGGCTGTCGATATCGCTGTTACCGCTAAGTTCCCTGAGGAACTCTCTCACAAATGAGATTTGTAAAGCAATTACATTTCCTCTATTATAGTTTACTAGCAGAACCCGCGGCTTCGCTCGCGCTAAACTACAAATAAACTCCCATAAAGGTTTCATACAAACTTTCATCCCCTATTAAAAGTAAACCCCGTTATGGGACAAATTTCGAAAAATGCTAAAACACGTATTTATTTAATTGTATTGAAGAGCATTAATACCAAGTTTTAAGTAATTCTGATCATAAATATTTTTTTGTGTTGTATTATAACGTGTTTTCCTGTGGGAATGAGATGATCTCCCGCGGTAAAAAATAGCCTATGTCACTCTCCAGCCTTATAAGTATCTCCAAACAAAAAATCACGCCAACCGGTCACTCCGTTCCGACGTGAAAGAAAGACAAACAAACAAACACACTTTCATATTTATAATATTAGTATGGATGTACATTTGTAGGTAGTTAGATCTGCCTAGATATTATTATTATAGTTTTATATAAGTTTTTATATAGTGGCATTTGGCCCTTTTTATATAGGTACCTATGACAAAGTAGCAACTTGCTTGTCTTAGAAGCAAGTAACCGCAGATTTATATACTCGTACATCCATTGGTGAAAGAGTGGGTAAAGAAAATATTGGGTAAACTTTTCTCACTATTTTACGAAATAATGTTGTGCAAATTGTTTTATTTTATTTTATACCATAAATATAAATTATATCTATACTTCAAATTTAATATAATTATCTATCTTTGCTATATAAATTAAAATATATTGTAATCGATTGTTTTTATTAAAAAAAAATCCACTCTCAATAACATTAAGATGAACATGTTAGTTACATCGTAAAAAATCACAATCATAGAGAAAAATTTGCCAGAAATTAGCACACATAGTATTAAAATAGCTAATTTTAAAGTTGAACGACACACTATCGGGCAAGTATGGGTTTGCTTGATAAGAGGTTCAAAAAATGACCCCGTTTCGTCACGAACCATGGATCAGGATGTGAATAATTCGGTCGAGCTAACACCGGCTTATCTTGGATTACAATATAATTATAAAATTATTATTTTTCATAATGGTTTCTATAAAAAGTTTGGGAGTATCTATATTCTATAAGATCATTAAAAGTACTCACAAAAAAAGTTATCTTGATATGTTTACGTGCTCTAGTGCGACTCTACTTAACCAATTTCGTAGAAATCTATCTATACATATAATAAAATTCTAACTGAGTCGAATCTGTACATTAAATATTTTTTGGAAAATCTTATTGAAATAGACATTATTATCGATACAGAGGCCGAATCTATAGTTTTTAGAATTTTTGTCTGTCTGTCTGTCTGTTACCGCATCACAGAAAAACCACTGGACGGATTTTGATGAAATTTGGTATGGTCATAGCTGATTATCCGGGTCAACATATAGGATACTTTTTACCGCAGAAAAATATCTCATTTCTGAGAAAAAATACAAAAACTGGTTAGAATAAAAAAACGATGATACTATATACTTTTAGCAAGTTAACTTACTAAATATGACAAAACTATTAAAAATAGCTAATCCTTAAAAAAGTATATCCATAGCACTATTTTATTCATTATAAAAGTTATTTTAATGAATATTTATTTTTGTATTATTTAGATATTTGTCAATAGATGTCGCCGTTTGTCTTTAAAATACTAATTTAATTCCAAAAAATTAAATGTACAAATTAGACGTTTCTATGATTTTATTAGATTACTACTAAATTACCCGCGGCCCCGCCCGTGTTCAAATTATCAAAAAAACAATCTTTTTGGCTTTATAAATTAGTTACATCTATAGATACATTAAAATTTAACTAAACAGTATCTGTGCTTTAATATTTTTGGACAATCTTATTGAAATACACATTATTATCGCTAACAGAGGCCGAACCTATACTTTTAAGAATTTTTGTCTGTCTGTCGGTGACCGCATCACAAAAAAATTACTGGAGGGATTTTAAAGAAATTTGGTATGTTAATAGCTGGTTATCCGGGTTAACTAATATACTAATACGAGTATACTAATATGTAAAACCTAAGAATTTGGTTTTGGTCATATGAACGCGGGCGGAGCCGCGGGCAATGCTAGTGTATGTATATTATTATAAAAGTACTTGTAAATATATATTAAACTAGCATTGCTCGCGGCTCCGCCCGCGTTCAGATGACCAAAAACCAAATTCTTAGGTTTTACATATTAGTAAACTCTTACATTGCAGTTTTTGTATTTTTTCTCAGAAATGAGATATTTTCCCGCGGTAAAAAGTAACCTTTATGTTGATCCGGGTAAACAGCTATCACAATACCAAATTTCTTCAAAATCCCTTCAGTGGTTTTTCTGTGTTGCGGTAACAGACAGACAGACAGACAAACAAAAATTCTAAAAACTATGGATTCGGCCTCTATATCGATAATAATGTCTATTTCAATAAGATTTTCCAAAAAATATACAATGTACAGATTCGGCTTAGTTTTAATTTTATTATATGTATAGATAACGACTCTTTGTTATCTCGTTACGATGACAAAAGTATGAGATAAAACAACAAAACCATATTTTGGCACCTGAGCGTAAGTACCGGCACTATATTATGTATTAATTATTTTATTCAAGCCCTTGCATAGTTTATTTATGCATAATTGGCTTCGCTTCTAAAGAGCACACATATAATTGTTAACCTATAAAATTTCTTAATATATACCTATAGCATATAAAAAAAGTAAAAGAATTTTTCAAATCGAACAAGTAGTTCCAGAAATTATCGTGTTAATGCGTAACGTAATTTCAAATTAATATTTTCGATGTGAAGTAGTTTAAGCAAACAAACTGAAGGCGGAGCTTGTAGATTATATACATATAAAGAATTCCATAAGCCAATTTGCTTCCTACTAGTATTGTAAATGTGAAAATTTGTGCTGTTTGGATGTTAGTTAAATAATTATTATTAAACAGTTGATCGATTTGTATAAAACTTGATACACAGATAGATCAAGACTATATCTTAGATACTGATTAGACCGTTACCTTACGTAATTTCCTCGGCATATTTTGCAGTATAGGTAGTGGTAGACCAGCAGTAACACGCTTGCTTGGATAAACCAAGTAAAGCGGGTTCAAATCCCGGGTCCCGCACCACAATTTTTTAATGTGATAATTATTTCCAACATGATTAGCACTTGCCTTACGATGTAGAAAAACGTCATGAAGAAACCTGCATGTCCGAAAGAACCTAATTAGTTTTCGAAGAATATAATTTGGCCAGCGTGGTGGAGTATGGCCTGATCCTCTTGCACTTAGAGGAGCCCTGTGAGGAATTGAGATTATATTATTATAGTGTAGGGGGATTATTGTAAAAATTCACTTATGAATGGAGTCAACCAGTAGGAAAATAAAACAATTGAAATTCAGTCATAAATCAGTTTTATTTCACCTATTACTTAATTCCCATAATATTTACACCATGAAATGCATTCACAATATCTGTTGCAGCACTTTTTGTACATCACATTAGCTAATATTATTGCACTTTTGTATATTTAAATCGGTTTCATTTTATGCCTTTTATATATGTACATAGATAGGATTCTGGTAGTAAGACATTAATTTAAAAAAAAAGAAGTATTGCTCACGTTTTCAATAATATATTACTTTCAATAATACAAGAACATTACATTATCAGCATTTTAAAGTTAGTATATTTTTTATTATATAATCATCAATGGAACTAAATCCATATATTGATCAATATAATTATTAATTAAAAAGTAAACCCGGTATTTTTTTTAATATTGTTTTCCAGAATCCTTCTTATAATAAAATAAATCTATCTATACAATTTATCTAGTAATGTGCTATAAAAATATCATAATAATACTTTTAAAAAGGCACTTTTTTGAAACCATGCTTATGTATTTGTTCTTTACTGAACTAACATTACATTAACACAACACTATTTTAATATTGAATTAAATTATTGAATATCTGTATATATACTTTTTTAAATGTTTAGTTATAATTCGATGGAATTTACTATAGCTATCATAGGTTTGTACTAGACTTCTAGTCATAAATTATTGTTTCAAAGTAGCAACACTGGCAAATCGTTGCTAACTGACTGGCAAATAAAAATGTCTTCAATAGGTTCAAAAAAGTTTAACTGGTATACGAAAATATTAAAAAAAAGGTTTTCATTATAGTAGTAAGTGTTTAATCTATATTATTAGACTGACGCCCAACGTGGGGCCAATAATAGGACCTAGTAGGATAGAGTAAATATGTATATAATTAAAATTATTATAATGCAAAGGGCCCCACATAACAAACACGATAAATCAGTGTTGCTAAGATGTAATATCTTATATAAAAATAATATTATCTAAGAACTTTTTTTTTCAAGTTTTTTTTGTAATATATTTGAATGTGTGTAATGTAATGTGAATTTGAAATTATGTATTCTATTAAAAAAATGTAAATAACATTCTAATGTTGATATTGTTATAATAATATTAAATATTTTCTTATTTTGATATTTTGAATAAATACTTCTGTTGTTAATTAATTATTGATTGATTGAGTCAATTATTCTTGTTTATACAAAAATATGCTTTTATTGTCATATAATTTTATTATTGTCACCAATCACAATTAATTATTTTATGAAGAGCTCTAATTTATATTATTTTTACAAATTGTTTTAATATTACACAGTTAATAAAATAGTAATGAAATATTTATATAAAATATTTTTTTTTTACATTTAAGTAGATTAATAATTCTGAGACAATAATAATAAAAAAAAATATTTACAGAGCTCTCTTAAAAATCAGACTAAATTATATAATTAACTAAATTATCTATCACATATTACTTTCCCATAGCTTTAAATAATTGTCTATCACTTCTTCAAACCACTTTTTCTTTTTAACGTCTTTGAATGCGGGCGATAATGTCTTTAATTCTAATTGTAATAAGGCCTCGTTTCCTAACAAGGAATCTAAGTTTCTTAGTAAAGCAGGTTCTCCGTGCAATTTTAATAGGCTTGGATACGAAAATATATAATAATGCACTCTTAGACGTTTCATCGCCCAATTTTCTACTGTTTTGTTTCCACTTGCGACCTGCAAATTAAAAAATAAATAAATAACAAAATCTTTTGAGTCGAATTAGAATATTTAAAGGTTTTAAAATTTCCATATTTATCTAAATTATATAAAAGAGAATATCTTTTGTATCTTTTGTTGGAAATTTAGAGTAGTGACGGGAAATAAAATTAAATATATTAACTAAAATATACATTTATTATTCTGTGTTAGCTAAACAATTATGAATAAAGAGAAAGTAATTTATTTTACCCATAAATAATTAATTTAGTAACATAAGTGGTAGAAATGAAAGGGTAAGAAATAACATGATCATTAAAATGATTATAATTAATTGAACGATTGATATTTGATTAATGAAATGATCAGTGCCTTAATGACTCGACTGAAGTGTTATTAAACAATTTTAACATGCACATTCAAAATTCAAATATTAAACTTATATTTTTTTATAATTATTTGGGAAAAACTTTAAATTTATTTTAAATACAGTTTGTTTTACCTTAATCTGGCCTATATGCTTGGCCTGCCAAGGCGAAAAATATCCTTCTAGTTCTTTAGCAGTTATATCCGCTACGCCCTTACTTTTTAACCTTTCTTTGATCATAGAGTATGCAGTTCTAGAGAACACAAACACCTAGAGTGAGAGAATAGACAAGATTCACAATTTTTTTTTTCATATTCTTGTAATTTTCGGGCGTACATTCGCGGATAATAGCGGCTGAGGTTTGTATACACTTTTCTATTTCTGTCATTTTATTTTGTACTTGATATTCGTAAATATTTTTATTTATTTATTTAGTTTTCAATAATTTCAATATATCGCTATTATACAAAAAAAAGACCTATGAAGGCCCTATAAAATTAAAATATAAAAAAAGTTTTTATAAATTTATTTTTATTTTTTATAAATATAAAAAATTTGAAAAAGTAATTTTATGGATATAATGAGCAGAACAATCGTTTATGAGTTGTCTTATTTGTGCCAATGAGAATGATGTGATTTAACATAATGCAACACTCAGTGAAATGCAATGATTCAAAAGAAATAGAAAAGATGTAATGCGAAGCGTGGTCACACTCAAGCAGACAAAATGGCCACAACGCCTTTAATATATGTTTGCTAATATTCTTATGAATTTAGTTTTAATGGCGAATAAAATAATAAATAAGATAAAAAAACTTTAACTCTATCTCTGAGGTAAATCACACTTTTACGTGCCATTTTATTTAAAAATGTTATGTCGTCCATTTAAGTCAGTGAAAAGGATTAAATCCAGTTACATTTTACAAAAATTGCAAAACTTTTATTAATTAACTATTTGTATACTTAATTTTCAAAAACTATGCAATTTCAATGCGATATAGCTTAGTTCTGAGGTTTAAAATAGACGACACTGTACTTTAAGTTTTTCTTACTGGAGATAGACATTTGATGTAACCTTTACACAAATTATATGAAAATGATACCTACCTCTAGTAAGCAACCCCACCGATAGATTGGTTTTGGAAAACACCTAAAGCTTTCAATTAGCTCCAAACCAATGAAATAGAGTTGATAAATTAAACAACTTAATGATGAATATGTTTATTTCAAACCATTATTAATAAGAAACAAAAAAACACAAATCCATCAAAATATTAGCAAACAAAGCACAAAGTCCAAACCTTGACCGCGCCGATATGTTCAGCGAAGTGCGGCGAGAAGAAATTGTTCATCTCGTCGGTTGAGATGTCGCTTATCCCGCGGGTTTTAACCCGCTCTTTTATCCGCGAATACACGCCCCGTGTGAATACGAACACCTAAACAACTAGCGTGTTAGTTATTTATGGCTTTCACGCTATTTACCTAGTATATTAGTGTTATTTAATACTTTCTTAACTTATTCTAATTTAACATTTTAAATAAAACTATTTTCTTCTTCGTTGTTTCGAAATAAAAATAAAAACGCGAGACAATCAGGAAAAATAATATCAAGTTTCGTTTTACGTTTATTTACTGATTTATTGATAATTTTTATTATATTATATTAAAAATGTTCAACAAACAGACAAAAATTTAAATTATAATTTATTACATTTTTTTATTTGTTCCGAAAAGGACGTGTAAAAATATTAAAACATGACGACACAACTATTTAAAATGTATACCTATCATAAAAATTAATATCACAGTGATGAGGTCATTCATAATCTCATTTTATAATCGTTTGTTTCTTAAAGTCCAGACCGAAATAAATATCTGTCCTACCATAACAATAAGTTTTATAATCACACTACTGCAATAAAGGCGATTTCACGTTTTAACGGCTGGACAGATTTGGATGAAGTATACAGATAGAGTAAGCATTAACATATAGGCTAGTAGTAAATTTTCAAATGAGGTCATTGCTTTTTTACGTCCGTCTGTTTGCGCTTTACTTCGTATAAAGTACTGTATAGGCACATTTTAATGCACATGTTATAATTCCTAAAGGAAAGTGGAAAGTTATTTATTAAATACTCGTAAGTCTTAATGTTTTGTAGTTATTGAATGGCAGGTGAAATGCATATCTGAATTTATTTTGAGTGGGGAATACTAAAAAAGAGCTAAGTTACAAAATCCACAAAACACCTCTTTTGATACGGTTTACATTTTACAAATAAAGTATATTTATTAGTTTAACATCAACATAACTTTAGTATCTTAAAACGTGGAAATGCTTTTCAAAACTACACGCGTGTTTGAAAACATGATCACGTTACATACCGTGCTGTTCCCTTATAACAGTACAATAACTAGCAAGTTCAATTACGCGTGAATTTATACGTATAAATAAATTTTGTTTCTTTTATATGCCAATATTACATGTTTTTGTGACTTTATATTGTTTTTGAGCTTAAAATATTTAAGTTTTTTCGTAACTCTGTGTTATCAACCTTTAAAATGGTGATTTGTTGTAACAGGACATGAAAATTGAATAATATGGTATCATAGATACGATTTTTTAGGTTAAATTTTATTTAAGTAAACTCTTAGGTTTTTTTTTTTTTTTAGTATAGCACGAGACACTTGGTGAAAGTCAACTCGAACATGTCTGATTTTATTTATTTCTTTATTTTTACGTTTATTTTAAAATCAACTAGTAATCAAAATTTTACGCTTTATAACAAGTATTCTTAATAAAATATAAATTCCATACAAGAATGTTTTTAAACATCAAACTTAAGTTTATAAACACAATCACATTACATAGCACGGCGCGTTTCACGTGATTACTCACGTTTTTGTTCTAGACTCGTGTATGCATTTTTATTCTATTTCACTCTTATAACATACCAAATGCACATATTATTTCTATATTAAATTTGAAAGTAACTATTATAAATATTTAATATATATTATTTAATTGTTTGATTTCTAGTTTCTACTTAATACTTACATTATAATTCCATCTATAACTATTATTAAGTTCTTTTTAAAGCTAATTAATGTTTCCAAAATAAAAACTTAAATAAAATTCTAACTAAGACGTAGATGTATTTTTGCGAAAATCTTATTGAAATAGTCATTATTATCGAATCGAGCCGAATCTATAGTTTTTAGATTTTTTGTCTGTCTGTGTGTCTAGGAACGCATCATGAGAAAGGTCTGGACAGAATTTTATAAAATTTAGTATGATGACAGCTAATTGTCCAGGTCAACATATAAGATACTTTTAATTGCTGGAAAGTATCTAATCTCAGAGAAATCTATACTATACGTTAAAACGTAACTAGGGACGAACCCGAGCGGAGCGAGGGTGAATCGCTAGTAACAAAATATTATGAATAATATGTATGATATATTTGTCAACATTTTGTGGTCTCAGTTTCCAAGTGAGAGGATAAATATGGTCATGTAATAATCGGTCTGGATTTTAAGGGAAAAGACTACACTTAATTATGAGAATCTTGAATTCATTACTTATTAATCATATAATTTATAACTATATTATTAATCATGGCATTAGCTGTGTCGATATTACTAGTAACCAAGTAAGGTTACCAGAATTAATAATAGTTATAAATCGACATTTTATTATTTCCCCTTTTGAATCAAATTAAAAAAAAATGGATACAAGGCTATTCGCCTAAATGGGTTTAAACAGCATGAAATCTTACCTGGTATAATGAGTTACCCGTGATATAGGAGGCTATGTAATGCGAGCCGTATTTCCGTATAAAGTCGGCGACAGAGACGGTATCACCGACAGCAATTTCATCTATCGCTTCATATACAACATCCTCTACTGCGATGTTTGGTGGTAAGTCTTTGAGTTTTGCAGTTTCTCGGAACCTGGAATTCAATAACACCTTTTTAGTCAACTATACATATAATAAAATTCTAACTAAGACGAATACAAACATTAAATATTTTTTGGAAAATCTTGTTGAAAGTAATTATTATCTATACAAAGGCGTAATCTATAATTTTTAGAATATTTGTCTGCCTGTCTGGGAACGCATCATGATAAAACTACTGGACAGATTTTGATGATAGCTGGTTATCCGGGTCAACACATTGGATACTTTTCAAAGTGGGAAAATAACTCATCTCTAAGAAATCCATGTTATCTATACGTTAAAACGTAACTAGGGACACATTTTATTTCATTACACAAAAACAAACTTCTTGTTTAGATATGGTGGACTGGTAAATAATTTACATATTAGTAAAATAAACTCTCATACAATAAAAACTTTTCTAATTTTGGACCTTAGGTATCATAGGAGTTGACATGATTTTTTTCCAAGACAAGTAACTATTTACTTGTATAAAGCAAACAAATAAGTCAACTATAATATTTATAATATACTAGTATCTACCGACGGCTTTGCATGAGTGAATGCTATTAATGTTCCATTTACGTTCTTAGATAGCGCCATCTATTGCTATGTGCAGTACGTTAATATGTTATATAGCAACAAATTGACATTCCTGCTCGTGTTGAGCCATCTGGAATAAGTCGAGATGATGGTAAGAGACCTGATGTCCTTTTGTTGGTTCCTTGGGAAAGAGGACGGGTCCTATTGCGGGACATTCGTTGACACATTGGCCCCGTCCTATGTCAGGGACATGGCGTGTAAAGTGGGAGCCGCAGCGGAGTTGGCTGAAATACTTAACTTACGTAAATACGCCTCCCTTAGTCAAAATTATGTTTTTATTCCATTTGCTGTTGAAACCCTTGGCGGATGGAGTCAAAGTGCTAAGCACTTCTAGGAAGACATCACAACTCGTTTTATCGCCTCTACTGGTGACAGGAGAGTTGGTTCAGTTTTCGCCCAAAGAATCGGCATTGCCATTCAACGGGGGAATGCGGCTAGCATTCATGCCACTATTCCACACGGACATGACGTGTACAGTAATAACTAAGTGTACATTTGTTTTGTTTTAAGTATATTTGTAATTCTCTTTATTGTAGATATAAAAAAAGCAACAAATTATTTATCTCGCGGATATACATATATAATCAAAATTTTATCCAAATCAGTTCAGTTGCAAGTGATTGAGTAACAAACTCAAATATGTTCATATTTTTACGTTTATTAATAGGATAGTAAAAATATTTTACCTTGATACCCTAACCAGGACGTAACAGTGGTCCCCATTGATGAAAGAGGAGTTAATGCCGAGGTTTCTCGCCATTATGTCAGTCGGCCACCCGGCCGTGAACGCCCTCCATGGACGTTCTAACCTTAAAATAGTATAATATTTTCTTAGATTTACGCGAATATATGAATTTGACATCTTTAGATAGTATAAAATGAAGTTCGCTTAGATCTTTAAAACTAGGTCAACAGATTTTAATGCAGATTTCAGCAATAGATAGATACATGCATATTTTAGTAGAGAAAAGCTGAGAAATTCAAAGATTTATATTTCATACTAACCGTTAAAACGTACCTAGAGACGAACCCAAGAGAAGCGAGGGTGAGTCGCTAGTGCTAAATAAAACTATCGTTTTCGTATGTTTTCGCGGATTTATTTTGATCTTTGGTTCACGACGTTTCGAATGCTTTAATGCTTTACTTTACAGCAAAGAATTTGAAACGTCGCGTCGGAAACCAAAAGTCAAAATTAATCCACGGAAAAATCCGAAAAGATAATTTTATTTAAAATCTTAAAATAGTAATTCAGAGTAATATAGTCATAAGTTAATTTATCCATCCTTTTTGTAGCACACCACAAAGGTAAGAAATGCATTGTAGACTGCGCTTAATTTAAATATTATACACTTAAATGTATTTTTTAAAAACTATAATGTCTGTATAAGATGACAGTGATATATGTAAAAGATAGGTAAATAAAAATAAGATTTTAAATAACTTTTAATGGAAAATAATGTAAAGAGGGTATACTATACATAGTATGTCTAATCATTGTTAAAACATAAAAATAGATACCTTTCAAAACTAAAATCTCTAAAATACGCTTGTAATAGCTGCTTCAGGTTATCGCAGAACTCCATATGAAAGTCTCCATCAAAGAGAGTCTTGGCTTGTCGAGGCTTGGGCGCCACCACGAACCTATCAACGTCTCGGAAAACACTGACTGTAGGTTCCCGGAACACCCACCCATCTGTGTCGTTACGTGGAACCACTCGCATACATATGCTGAGGTAACCATATCTGGAAATAGATATCTTAAATGTAGTTTTGGTAATATGATTCTGTTAGGTATATTTTTGAGATAGAGATTCAAATAACGAAGGATCATCGTTTATTCTGAAGTTTTAGTTTTTGAAATTTCTACTTTAACTAGCGATATTGCCCCAAAGAATCTTTACTTTCAACAAACGTATGTAAAAAGTGGAAAGAAGAAAGAAAGGCTATTGCCTCCAGGTCAAAATCTATGTACGTGTGTACTAAATTTCATCAAAATTTTTGCACTTATATTACCTAATAGCAGTTAGTTAACTTAAATATTCCGATAAATTATAAAGGATTTATTATAATCTATATTTATATTTACTTATATGTAAAATTGTAATTGATAATCTTATTGAAATAGTCATTCTTATCGATACAGAGGCCGAATCTATAATTTTTAGAATTTTTGTTTCTCTGTCTGACTGGGAACGTATCACGAGAAGACCACAGGAGGGATATTGATGAAATTTGGTATGACGATAGCTGGTTATCACGGTCAATATTTAGAATACTTTATAATGCAGCAAAATATCTCATCTCTGAGTAATCTATGTATACTAAACGTCAAAACGTAACTAGGAACAGAGCGCTAGGATTTATATCTTTTACTATTATATTGTTAATAGTATAGTAGGTATTACATTATGATATGTGATATTGTATACTTTAAAGTATAAGAGAAAAGCAGAGTGCTAGTGGAGTACTTATTTTTTACACTCTTACAAAAATAATAACTTTTAGTGTAGGTATAATAGAAATGTTCAATAAAATTGTATACCATAAAAAACCTTATCAGTACTTTGATATATGTAATATAAATATAATGTAATATTTGTAGATATTTTTAACAATATTTCCTATATCGATATTATTCGGAATGTGATAAATATGTTTATGGAAGTTTTAAAAATGCATGAAATGTTTTATTGTTTCAAACAAAAATGTTGTTCCCATTCCATACAAATTAAATATTTTATTTTATATAATATTATACAACGATTTTACATGCTCTAAGCATTTGCTATAAACAAAAATCAATTATGTTCTTTAATCCTAACGCAATAAGAGCGTATTTTACATGTCATTGGAATTTTCATTATTAATGCCCCTATAAGTTCTGTTACGAATATGGAAATACCAATAATTGCTAAGAAATATAAATATATCGCATTGCTAGAATTGTTTTAAAGTAAAATACTGTGTAACAATTCACTATATATGGTATTTATCTGTTGTTTATTGCAGGCGCTTATTTATTAAAAATCATAGCTTAAAGCTTACACACATATTAAAAGTATAGACCGACCAATAACTATTAAAACTAATATAGCATACAAAATATAAAATTTGAGAAAAACTAGATTATATTAGACAATTAGAGGTATGTATTCAATAGGTATATTTATGATCAGAATCACTTGAAACTAGGTATTAATGTTATTCAATTAAAATAAATAAATACGTGTTTTAGAATTTTTCGAAATTTATCCTATAAAGGGGTAAAAAAGGGGATGAAAGTTTGTATGAAACTACTTTTCTAGAGATATTTTGTAGTTTTAGTGCGACTGAAGCCACGGGTTCTGCTAGTATGTATGTATATAAACACTTAAATAGACAAATACAAAACAGTTCCAGTACCTTTTTCTTCTGTGTTTGTCAACTGATTTTCTTTATTTGTTTAGTAGTTATTGACGCGTTTTAATGTAATAAATAAAAAAAAACAATATTGGTTATGGTGTATTTTTTTAATTGGTTACATGATAGGATGTAAGTCTAATAAGTAATATCCATTATGACGACATAGAGTAGGTAACACTATTGTCGTCATGTAGCGTTGTTCCACTATTGTGTGGTACCTACAGGTGTTTTCATGTTATTCGTCATCGTTCCAGTAATTTAGCAATAGCTTAAGAGTTAAGACAAAGAGCAATAAAAATTCTCAGGTGTTCAATAAAAGCTCTTCAACAAAATAACACCATGATATAGTTGTATGTACATTTTTTAAGATTAGGTACAATTTTTATAAAAAAAGTTTTGTGATGAGATAACGTTTTTCAAATAAATATAGTAAGTTAAAGTACTTTGTTTTAAATATAAAAAAATTTGCAATATTTTTGACGTTAAAAAGAACGGCTGAATACATGGGAAGAGAGACGCAGGCGAATACTAGTTACCTCATAAATATATTGATAGATTTGCCAACGCCGAGCTCCGAGTCGAGTGTCGCGGCGCGGCACAGTGCAGCCGCCAGCAGCAGCAGTGCCGCCCGCATCACACCGACTCTGCACACCTGGAACAGTTACTCTTATTAGTTACAAGCAACTTACTCTGATTTTACACGGATGTTTCTAGGTGCCTACTAGTCTATTAGGCAGTGGTAACCCAGTGGTGACGCGCGCTTGAGAAACCGAGGGAAGCGGGTTCAAATCCCGGATCTGGCACCGCTGATACTTTTAAGTTCGATTCATTTTCTACATGATTACCACTTATCTTACGGTGAAGGAAAACATTGTGAGGAAATCTGCATGTCTGAGAGAACCTAGCAAGTTTTCGAAAGACATGTGAAGTCCGCTAACCCGCACTTGGCAAGCGTGGTGGACTATGGCCTGATCCCCCTCGTATTGAAGGGAGGCCCGTGCCCAGCAGTGGGACGTTAATAAAAGGGCGGAATACACTAGTTTCTGTGTCACCCCAGGTCAAAGCCTATATTATGCGTATCTACTAAATTCCATCCAAATCCGTTCAGCCGTTTTAGACTAAAGGAGTAATAAACATACATAGTACATGCAAATTTTTGAATCTACAGTATACTGATTATTATTATTGCGATATCCTTAATAATATGGTATATTCTTTCTCTTTCTTCCATTTCTGCAGTACCTACTATATATTTTTTTTAATAAAAGTACCGTGAAAGTTTAGTAGGTACTAGAGAAAATTTAGTAAAATTACGTATTGTTTGTTGATAACAACATTTAACAACTTATTTGCGGTCATTTCATAGCTATAAATGTTATATTTTATGTAACTAAAGTCGCATACATACATACCTAAATAGCATATTAAAGTTTTTGTTTATCAATTATTTGCTATAGTTAAATTTTAAATTATTTATAAATAAATAAAATCAAAAATATATACTTATTAAAAGGATATAACTTAAAAATAAAAAGTTACTTCTGTGTTTATACTCGTAATAAAATGATGCTAAATTTTAATACTAAATCAATCAATATCAGAAAATTTTAAAATATATTAAAATATGAAAAATATTAAAATTACAAAACACAAAAAGCACTCCCCGGCGGGGAATCGAACCCCGGTCTCCCGCGTGACAGGCGGGGATACTTACCACTATACTACCGAGGATATGACTTATGAAGTGAAATAGTGAATCTTAATTTAAATAAGTATTTTATGTATGTATATTATATTTGAGATATCAATTATTAAAAGTATGTTTTTTTTTGCAATTTGTATTTTTTTTGTTAACGTCTAACAATAAAATTCTTACTTTTAATTATTAGGTACAATTTTTTGACAGAGTAGATTTATATAATGGAATGGGAATAAAATGAATTGCTTATCTCTTATTATATTAAAAAAATATATAACTAAAATAAAAATATATAAAACTGATACTATCAACAGCTAAACAGACGAAATATTTTCGCCACCATTCGCAACCACTGATGTAACGTAGAGACTAATCCATTCATCTGCATTCAAAATCTTGCATTTTGATATTTTCAAAGATTAAAAAATAAACTATAACAATATAATTATTAAATTAATAATATTACATTATTCTCATTTTGTATAGTAAGTTAAATTCTCAGCTAACGTTATTTATCGGATCAGTGGCATTAAAAGGCAGATTGTTAACACTCAAGTCAAAGTGTAACCCTTGACCCGCTTCCCGCCAAATTAAACCAATTGTATTCTGCAAATTGCATTTGACCGTAATTCATTGGAGACGTCACGCCACTGTGACCGCAAGAAATAATAGATTTCTCAATCATATTTGATTTGTTTGACATGATGACATGCTTTGCTTCTTATCAAAAATTAGCGCAAGATTCGTGAAATTAAATTGTAATATTTACTATATTATATTTCAATACGATATTAATTTATTATTTGTAGTTTTAAAAAGCTAATATTGGTGCATTTTAATATTTCTATTTGATAGAACGGTGTGAGACGACTTGATTTTAGTATAATTTTGTTTTAATGGTAAAAAATGGTAAAAAAAATATTTTATTTATTTAAATAAAATATTTTTATTGTCAAATAATAAATGTGTTTGTTTTGCTTTTAGAAAATAAATCATAGTGTCGCCATCTAGTGTGCCTTAAAGTTTCATTTTCATTTTAAAGTAAATAAGCAAAATAGACGATAGATGGCGCTATAAGTAACTGTTAAGTTGCAACTGAACTTGAATTTAGCACAATCCGCGACTACGCCCGTGTTCAATCTAAAAAAAAAACTTTTTACTTTGGCTTCATGTTATAAGTACAGAGACTCACCCTCGCTTCACTCGGTTTCTTCGCTATGTATTTATTTAGTATTGTTCATACAAGAATACTAAAGTAGCGATTAAAAAATGGGGGGTGGGGGTAGGAGGATGAAAAATACTTTACGACCTATCTCAAACCTACCAAATATACAAAAAAAAACCATTAAAATCGGTCACGTTTCAATCAAGTGACACGAGATATTTATAATATATTAGATAACTATGACCGTGAATTAATAAAAATATATACATATAATATATACATATTTTAATTTTTAAGACACGAGATATTTATAATATATTAGATAATTATGACCGTGAATTAATAAAAATATATACACTACAAAAATATTTTGTATTGCGTCATTTTTTTAATTTTTAACATAAGATGCTATTGCATAATTTATGACTTGTATCTTAGATACCAATCACGCACAATAAAAAATAATCTCCTGCGATAATATTATTATATTTAATTAATATTTAATTCATTAAGTTAATTAAGAATCTTACATCTAAATTATACCAATTTTTTGAGTAAAGGTGATATTTTATTACAGATAAAATTAATATAAGCAGAATTAATTATGAAATTAGTTATAAAATATTTGATATTTAATAAAAAAGTAACGTACTCACGTATAACGATTTAAAATTTTAATACTTCATTTAAATATGATATAGCTCCAATAGTCTCTAACTAAAATGGGTGGGACATACGGAAAGAGAGACATGATGAAATGGTAAGGCTTCAGGCTTTTGGCTACGGAACCCTAAACACAAATTAATAAGAATTAATAACATTACCCTCGTGCTTAGATAGAATAGTATATTTGGATATGACGATATTTTTTTATAATAATGATATTAATATATTGTATTGGAAAAATGACGAATTTGGACCATTCTCTCTCAAATAAACTTTACCTAAATGGAAGCTTTGTTTTTATACGTTCAAAACCTTTCTTTTTTCAATGTGTTAATTTAATCCCAGTTATCTACAAGCACCCAGAGTAATTATAATTTGAAAACACTAATTATGTCTACCTCAAGAGCACTCGAGCCGGCACTCGAACCTGTGCTGAACGTGATGCAAGCCAGCCCAGTTACTAAAATACATGCAATAAACAATTAGTTACAGCTCATTTTATAAATAACTAGCGACTCACCCTCGCTTCGCTCGGGTTCGTCCCTAGGTGGATTCCCCACACAAACTTTCACCCCCATTTTCGCCCCCTTAAGGGATGATTCCCGGAATAAAAAGTATCCTATATCCTTTCCAGTCCTTAAACTATCTTCTTACCAAATTTCATCTAAATCGGTTCAGTAGATCCGGAGATTCAGAGAACTTTACTTCTTTATAATATTAGTACCTATAGATTAGTTGCTCATTTTAGGGTTCCATACTAGAAGGGTTGCATGGGGAAAATAATTAGTATTTGAATATGTCTACATTATACTTTCTTAGTACTTTCTAAGATTTACTCGAATATTTGACACTACTACCTACTACATAGGTCGGTACGCGGTCAATATTTAAAAAACCATTTGTTATATAATATCTTAAGAAATAATTAAAATACTACTATAGAAAACTGGGAGTTATGTTGAGTAATAACTAACACCTAGTATTTCTATAGTCATTTTAAGAATCACAATTAGAAGAGCATTCTTGCGTGTGTTTTTGCATTTGGGTTATTGTGCTAATAGTAAAATCTATATGATGTGATGTTCTCCTGACCGATTCCGGCCACGGCGGCTAATCTCATTGAGACTAGCCAACTGCGCAGGAGATATTATAGTGCACAAGTGTACGCGCAGACACAAGTGCACTCTCTATTCCTGTCACTCTCATACTCCGGTGGGACGAAAATATATAAATATATAAATAAAAACGAATCACCGAAATGTATGTACGCGCATAATTTCCGATCGACTGCATCAAATTGGATAATTCTTTTTTTTGTGTTTGTTATTGTCAGGACAAGCTTTGTATGGAAGAAAATATTTTTTTTTTTACTAAAATAAGATTTTTTTAAATCTCATGATATGAAAAGTGAGTAAGCGAAATATTTTTTATCCCGGAAATCATCCCTTAAGAGGGTGTAAAGTTTGTATGGGGAAGCGAGTTAGGGACGACCCAGAGCGAAGCGAGGGTGAGTCGCTAGTAAATAATAAAAATTTGACATGCTCTAGGAAATAGCAATATCAAACATCATAAAATAATAAAGTTTCATTAAGAAATGTAACAGAAATATTGGTATAAAAGTGGTACGGAGCTCTCGTTCGCGTATACTTGCACTTGCACTTAGCCGATTTTTAAATTAATATTATTCATTCAAGGTAATGAATGTACAAAGTTGCATCAACATTGATTATTTTGTGTACAAATGTTGTAAATTGCTATAAGAAACTGCTTAAAAATGTATAACGTGTTAAATATTTATAATTTAATAACTTCATTTATTTTTATACACGTTGCTGCTCGTTTCTTTGCTCTATTAGTGAAAACATGATCACTTTTGTTTTTAATATTATATATATTATATAATTAAACACAAAAATAAAACTTTGTAATTCAAATATAAAATATTTGAATTAAAAATTATCGATATCTGGTCACAGCAGTCAATCTCACTGCCGAAGACAATAGTATGCGCAAACGCAAGTGCATGCTACATCCCCCTCAGTCATAGTCCGATGGGACGACAGTTTTTATTACGATATGTCTAAACTAGATATCTATTGTAGGA